AAAAAAAAAAAATAAACAATAAAAGACGCTGTCAATGAACTCTTCAAGCCCTTCACACATACACACACATACATGCTCAGGCAGACTTGGTCAACTTGTTTAATATCGGTCAATGTATTCAAAAAAAAAAAAATAAATAAATAAATAAAATAAAGTAAAATAAAGAATAAAAACGCGATAAGAATTTCAAAAATTTTTGGTTTTGATTGCGTGCGCTTCTGCTTAGCTGCGTGTGTGTGTGTGTGTGTGTGTGTGTGTGTGCGTGCGTATGTGTGTGTTGTCTGGATGTGTTCGTATGCAATGCCAAACTTTCACGTAATTTTTGCGCATTTTTTCTGTTTTTTTTTTTTTGTCTTTTGCTCGCCTTCTCTCTCTCTCTCTCCCTCTGTGTGTGTGTGCGTGCGTGCGAATTATATTATTTTCGCTGTCTGTTTTGCTGTTGTAAAGAGTCAACAACCTTTTGCGTACACAAGAAGCGCCAGACTCGCGGCTATGCTGCTCGCACTCTCTGGCAGCCGCTCTATGCTAGACCTACGCTATGCTCCCCTCCCTCCCACTCGCTATGGAGTTGTCCGCCCTCTGCATCTTCCTCTCCCTCTCTCACTTCCTCTCAAGCCCAGCTCTGCTGCCCATTAAGCATAGTAGCTCCCTTTAAAAACAACTAGAAAGCTGTTTGCCTTAGTGGCCTTAATCAACATCATTTGTTGCTCGCTGCTGATGTTGTTGTAGTTTTTTCCTCTCATTTGTTAATTACGTAAATTATGAACTTTTTTGGGTTATTATTATATAGCTGGGCATTATAGTGTCATGTTTGTTTTTGAAATTGATATATTTCACTATGGGCAATTTTTCATAGGTTACATAAGCTCTATGGGAGATGTTTAATTTGCAATCGATTTTTTCTCAATCTTTATATATAATATATATTTTTTGAAGATGGCTACAGAGTTCATAGTAGAGAAAATCCTGTTTTTATTAGTTAGTTTTATTTATTTTTTGTTATATTTTTAATTTAGTTTGTTTTCTTTTTAATTTTTTAGGTATTTCAATTTTTTTTTTTAAATAGTTTTAGTTTTAATTTAATTTCAGCTTATTTATGATTTTTTTATATTTGCGTATAGGTGTTTGTTTTTAGTTTAAGTTTTTATGCATTTTTGAATTTTTATTTTGCTTTTATTTTTTATTCGCTTTATTTTTGGAGGGAACTGGCATCTCCTCATCGCTTTCGCTGAATGAACGCTCTAATGACGTCTATCAAATAGAAATTGAATGCGTTAAGTTTATGTTGTTTAGCTTGGCTACTTTCCAAAATGGGCATGGCCACTAGATATACCATATTTATATGGCATGCCCGACTACCGATCTAATCTCCGCTCATTTGACAAATTTTGTTAGCTTACAAAGAATTTCGTAATTTCATCTTCGAGCTCAGTTCCAGTCGCATTCGCCGCTCGATAACCTTGTGAATCTGCTGACTGAGTTCTTTTCCATTAGCATTGGCACACTCATCATGAAATTCCTCGTGCTGACCCACTAAACTGGAACGTGGCTCAGGTGGCACGCTTCGCCCCAAAAATAACTGCGAAAAATGCACTTTTTTCCACTGTTTTTCATGCTAGAATAAACAGCAACAACAACCAGTTAAGAGCGCTGACAAACACGTGACACCTTAGAAGAAGCGCAAGAAATAAAAGAAACAAAAATAATAATAAATATAAATATATTTCTTGGTAACAACATTTACTTGGCCATAAAAAAATTCATTGGAACTCTAGTTGTATTTTTAACATAAATTCAGCATTCTCGCTCGTTTTTTACTTTCTTTCAATTCGTAATCGACATTTGTCGAACAACCATCCGAAATTTGTTAAGCTCCGACTGAGTTTTTATAAATCACACGGATCCATGTGACGAAGCTCACGTAGGCAGCTTTGGAATAGACTTCCCTTAAAGTCTATGGCTGTACTCTAATGGGTGATTTAACAGAGGGAGAAGTCTATATAAGCGCTTGTTAACACTATAAAAAAGTAATTATTAAAAGCTTTTACGATATTACGATCAAACGATCTACGATCTGAAAATCGATCTAATGTGTCCAAGGTCATTGTCAAGTTCGATAACTTTTAAGAGTACTTTGAATATCGTAATAGCATTTAATGTTCATATATATCGAGTGTGTTCCAATTCCACTTGTTCCAAGCGATTTATATTAATTTTAACAATGTAATTCATTGCATTTCATGAGTGAGCTGTAGAAGTTGTATATCTATCATTATTCATTCTATGTTTTATTTCCATTTGCTCCACTAAATATGTTCATAATAAGTAAGCCTGTTTAACAGAAAATGAATTTGAAAAGCTTAATACATATTTCTGTGTAAGTGTTCCACTTCCACTTGTTTCATTGGTTGCCTTCACATGACTTGACATATAAATAAACCTCGTGAGCTAAATGAACTTAAATAGTTATTTAAAATATATTAAATCAAATTTCCAGTTAAGTGTTCCATTTCCATTTTTACTCTCTTGACTTGGGATAGTATAAATAAAACTGCTGAACTGATTTTTAATCACGTTTAAGCAATTGATTCAATTGAATTCCATTTTCTATTAAGTATTCCATTCCCATACCATTCCCACTATTCACTAGACATGTTATAGATACTGAGTATGCAAGATCAAGTAAGTAAGTAGGCAAAGTTTTAGTTATAAACTTTGAACTTGATATAATTGACATTATCACAATAAAAGACTAGTTGATAAGATCTTGAGGATAAGAACTGTACTTAGCCTGCTTAGAATGTCATATATCATATATGTATGTTTGATTGTGCTGATTGTTCAGGCGCATATCAGACTTTTCAGACCCGGACATTGCAATTGTTGTTATGTATGTATATAGGCTGACTTCTAGGCGCACTGTGACAGATGGACGGACAGAGGGATAGGCATAGCTGCGTATTCATCAGATACTTTGCATGCGCTTGCAACATGTATCTCCATGTGTGTGTGTGATTGTCCGTGTGTGTACGTGCGTATATGCTTTGTTTGACGTTGTTGTCTCTGGCTGACTGCATTGACCCCCACTTGGGGCCTGTGCCTGACGTCGCTTTTGTTGTTGTTGCCGTTGCTGTTGTTGTTTTTGTTATAGTTGTTGTTGGTATTGCCGTCTCATATGCACGCACATTGCGGTTCATTGCACTCTCTATTTACTTTGGCTTCCCATTTCGAACATTTACATTTTCTTTTTTTTGTAGAATTTTAAATATTCGATTTTATTTTTTCGAATTTATTGGTTCTTCACGAAAGAGGATGCTATTGATGTTTATCTTTTACATTGAATCAACGCATTTGTTGCTTTCTTATTGATTTATAGTTGATGGTTCAATGGGCAGATTTATAAGTCAGTAATATAGGGATAAAAGGTGAAGGTCAGCCGGTTTGCTAGGTCAGCTTGTGATGATGAATGTATATATGCTATGTGCATTAGAGTACTTGCTAGAAATTGAAAGTATTAACTCCACTCACTATTTAAAGAGAGAAACAACCTTCCTCTCCAGCTAGTTACACAGGCAATGAAGCCAGCAGTTGGAAGAGCGGCGAGATAATCGCAAAGGCTGACGAAGTGAAAAAAAAAAAAATTCAAATTAATTTGATAGGTAGAACAAGAACAACACAAACAAACGACAACAGGAGCAAAAGAGTCAGCATGAGCCAAGCAAGGGAGAAAGGGGCGAGAAGAGAACAGAGGCTATTGACTTGGTACGGTACGGCAGGGCAGGCATTGGTATTGGTGCATGTTGGAGGAGCACGAAACAGAAGCATTGACCGAGAGTTGAGCCAAAAGGAAAACAGAGAGAGCACGCAGCGTGCGTGCGTACGAGTGGGAGAGCGACTGAGAGCGAGAGTGGGCGTAAGAGAGCGAGCGTGTGATAATGCAATGCGACGTGACGCGACGCGACGCGTTCACACACACATGTGATATCGGCGATAACAGTTGACAGTGGAGAATCGACCGTTGAGCTGCTATTGTGTTGCTCTCCACATAAAGAAGCCAACACACACACACACACACACACATTTATACAGAGGCTAAATGAACGCCCGCCTCGCAGCTCGCACACACAGATTTTACTTTTGCTTGGGGAGGGGTGCATTGACTTTTGTTTCTTTATACCCTACAGCCGTTAAACGCATGAAAGGGGTATTATAAAGCTGTAAACATGTTTGATAACAATTGATGCATATATTTTATATGTATTTTTAAAACAAAGCGCGCTGTATGTGATAGCGTTACTTTCAATATAAAATGAAATATTGAATGAATGATATATATAAAATATTTTATTAAAAAATTGAGAAACAAGTAGATGTTTTTGTAATTTAAATATAACTATTATTATATTGTTAATGGAACATATATTAAATAATTATTTTATAATATTATACAAAGTTCATCAATTTTTACTGCCTACTTTTGGGCCACTTGCTAGCAACGGTTAATTACAGGGTATTTGTAATGCAAGTTCAGCCTAAAGCTCTTTAATTTTTATACATTTTTTGTGGTATTGTTGATTTTTTTTACAATTTATTTGCAGAGTTTGTTAAACTTTCATCATATTTTGTAACATATATACAAGATAAAATATACCCCATAAAACTCTGATAAACCTTATAGGTTCTTTTATGAGGGAAATTTATGTGAATATAATATAATATATATATTGAATTTTTCAGAATATTTGGTGTGCAAAATAATATAGTGAAAAAAATAGAAAAATATATTGATATAATAATGAATAAAATGTAATGACAAAATATAAAACTAAAAAAATTAAAATTACAGAATAAGAACAAATTAAAAAAAAACTAATAAAAAATTATTATTATATTAAATTAGATTATTAGAAAAAATGTAAAATTAAAATTTCTTAATTAAATAAAAATTAACTTATTTATTAAATAATTTTCCTTTTTCCATTTTTGCTCTCTCTTTGCAGTGCGGCTCAGGCGCCTTCGTTAACATTTCCCTTTATAAATGCTGCAAAGCAACAGCAGCAACAACTTCCTACTGCACAGCAGCAACAAGCACAACAGCAATTGCAACAACAACAACCAACATTACAGTTAACATTTCAGAATTTAAATGTGCTGCACAACGAGCGCAAAATTCTTTCCGATGTGAGTGGATTAGTCAGGTAACAACAGCAGCAACAGCAAACAAACATGTAAACAAACCACACTAAACAATAACAACAAGCCACTGAAACGTTGATAAACTAATAAAGTCAACTCTATTTCTCTCTCTCTCTCTCTCTGTCTCTCTGTCTCGCTCTCCCCCTTCTCTCTGTCTGTGTGCAGCCCTGGCGAGGTGCTGGCTATTATGGGTCCTTCGGGCAGCGGCAAGACCACGCTGCTCGATTGCCTCAGCGGGCAACGGCACTTTGATAGCGGCAGCGTCTATCTGAATCGCGAGCCCCTCTCCAAGCGCTGGCGTCGCAAAATTGGCTACGTGCTGCAGGAGGAGATCTTCTTTACGCAGTTAACGTTGCGCGAGACCATCACGTATACGGCGCTGCTGCGTCTGCCGGAGAAGATGGCGCGCGCCGAGAAGCTGCGGCTGGTCGACCATATATTGGAGATGCTGGAGCTCACCTGCTGCCAGCAGACCAAGTTTGGCGACTACCTCAACCGGGGACTGTCGGGCGGCGAGAAGAAGCGTGCGAATATCGCATGCGAACTGTTGACCAATCCGCTTCTAATGCTGCTTGATGTGAGTAAAAGTGAGGGTGGGGGATACGATATAAGAAACGATATAAAGGGAAGCAACATACGATATAGCAACTATACGAGATATGAAGTCTGCAAGCCTTAATAAGACATACAATTAATGAAATTCGGTTCGTCTCCGTTGCCTTTTCAAGGAGCCCACCTCTGGGCTGGACAGCCACTCGGCCATATCGTTGATGAAGGTGCTGAAGCGTTACGCGCAGCTGGAGCAGAAGACAATTGTGATAAGCGTGCATCAGCCGTCGTCGCAGATGTTTCACATGTTCGACAAGTTGCTGCTGTTGCATCAAGGACGAACCGCATACTTCGGCGAGGTGAACAATATCTACAGGCACTTCGAGAACATTGGGGTGACCATCAAGGCGCACTACAATCCCGCAGACTTTGTGTGTAAGTAAACGCTTGCCATTGTAGATATCTTCAGGCTAACTAAGCTTTTGGCTTGCAGTGGAGCAGCTGAAGTCGCATCCGGATATACGTGAGAAGCTATTCATAGCTGCCAAGGAGTCGCATGGCAACTATTTGAATCGCAACTGCATTAGCAGTCCGGACAAATCGAAGCAGCAGCAGGACACCATACTGATCAACGACATCATCAACAACTACTACAATCAGCGACATCATCAGCCCCACAATCATCACCACAATCACCATCATCATCATCAGTATCACACAGCGAACGGAGGCTGCGAGGCCGATGAGGAGGCTGCGCAGCATTTGGTCTGGTCCGGTGCCGATTCGCAATCAAATTTCAGTTCCTGTGCCTCCAGTGATTGCCAATCGTATCGTGTGGGCAAAGGCTCCGTGAACGACGACGATTGGCTCTCGTATCCAACGCGTTTTTACACGCAGTTCAGCGTCCTATCGAGTCGCAATTTCAAGGAGGCCAAGCCGCGTATGTTGTCCAAGTTGAATTGGTTCCAAACCATTGGTCTGGCTCTGATGGCGGGCGCCATTTGGTTCCAGCTGCCTCGCACCGAGGAATTCCTTCACGACCTGCAGGGCTGGATGTTCTTCTCGCAAACCTATTGGATGCTCTTTGCACTCTTCGGTGCGCTCAATTCATGTGAGTATTAGGGATTACTCTCAGCACTCGATTTAATTTAACTAATTTCTATATTTTTAGTTCCTTCAGAACGTGAGGTGATCAGTAAGGAGCGTCGCTCGGGCGCGTATCGGCTCTCTGCCTACTATCTGGCAAAAATGTGCGCGGAGCTGCCTTTGGTGATAACGCTGCCAACTGTCTACCTCATGATAAGCTATCCCATGCTGGGCTGCAGCAGGTGAGCAGCTGTTGTTCATTCGCAATTTAGTAGTTAAGTTAACGAACTTGATTTTGGCTTGGCAGCTTGAAGCTCTTCTTTCTGATGCTCATCTTTTTGCTGTTGAATACGATTGTGGCACAGAGCGTTGGCTTCTTCATTGGCGCCTGCTGCATGGACATGAATGTGAGCATTACGCTGAGTGCACTCTATACGCTTGCCACACAGCTCTTCGGCGGGTATTTGTCGTCGCGCATTCCGGAAGGTCTCAGCTGGATACGTTACACATCGATGATACACTATGCATACCAGAATATGCAGATTCTCGAGTTTCGCGAGGGACCGGCTATTAGGTAAGCGAAGTCTCACTCAACTTCAATTGTAATCGATTAACATATTTGAATATCAATTCTAGCTGCGGATCGCCGAGCAGCTATGAGATATGCAAACAGCAGACAACCGAATTCATTCCATATGAGGAAATACTCAAAGCACAAAATTCAACATCTCCGCTCTGGCTGAATACGCTAATATTGATGATGTTCTTTCTGGTATTTCGGGGATTGGGCTATGCGGTATTGCGCTATCTCCGCTGTCCACAAAAGTCGTGATATATATAGCTGACAACGAACCAGTGATACGTAATGATTAGTGTGTAGCCTTCCATAAATCCTATAAATCTAAAAATCAAAAAAAAAAAAAAACAGAAAAAAAACTCCACAAAATGTTGAACAAATTACAAACGTGCGCCAATTGTTGTGATTCAATATTCAAGCCACATTTATTATTAATTATTATCTACAATTAGCTTATATACTTTTATGTATATATACATATATATATATATTTATGTATTTGGCAAACGGCAGGCGCTATATCCAAAATTTGTTGTTTGTTGCATTTTTTGTAAACAGCAATTTTTGTTTTTGTTTTATGCATTTTTAATTGTTAGCCATTTACCTTAAATCTAAATCCAATTATTATTATTATTATTGTAGTTATTATAATTATTATGTTGCTGCTAAAAGGAAAATATTTGAGAACTTTGTTTTAATTTACGTTTTAAATCCAAAATTAATACAATTTCAAAAGCCCATATTAAAATATCTTTATATATAATTATTATTGCATATCGCACATACTGTACTATGTCTATATACATTATCTATATTCTAGAAATTTTTGTAGATTTTTGCAAATTTTTTCACTTGGGAAAAAACACTGTGATTTAGTATGCTAGTTTTTTAATTAGTTTTAAGTTGGCTGCCGAGAAAACCGTGTAACGCAAACAACCACACACACATACACACAACAAATTGTAATGTTGCATTATGTTTACATTAACTAATTATATGTAATTAAATCTATTTAAAATAACATACATGAAAAATATGCCGAAAAGTAACGTATTCATTTGAAATTATTTTAATTATTTTCGATGATGATCGAGCTGCAAGCAAGTTATATTGTATTGCAATCAACATTTATCGAAATCTAACATTTATTTTGCTCAGGCAATGCAGTTCATTAAGCGATGAACGATTTACGCACTTTTTTGTTGTTGTTTACGCAGCTCTTGCTGTGCACATTTACCGGATTTCTGTTTATTTGAATTAAATTATTAATCGATTGACCTGTTTCTGTGTACAATCGAGAATCGAAAACTGGTAATGCATTGAACTCAACGAAGTAGTCATTGGCGCGCCTTCATAATTTGAAATCTATAAAATGTATGACATAGCAAGCAGCTTTTGTTGTGTGCACTTTCTATACGCTTTACCAGTTGTTTACATTATGGGTTAGCTCTATAGACCATATTTTCTATAGACAATTTAACTTATGTATATCAGTCAGCTTTCGTAGTACATTCTTTCTGTATTGAACTTAATTTATTTAAATTAAGTCAGTAAACGATGGCATGCAACTCAACGAAGTTGACATTGTGGCGCCTTTGAAGTTAATTATATGAATGACATAGCAGACAGCTTTTGTCGTCTGGATTTTCTGTATGCCTTATCGATAACGAAAGATTAATCGTCTTCAAACATACTTAACGGTCTGTATTTATTATCAATCTTCAACCATGGACTTTCCTTTGGTTTCTTTTAAAAATAACAAAAAACATATGAAGCATACAGCCGTTATGCATGCACACGACCACATGGTAGCCGGCAGGCCCCACTGTGCCATACACAGAGGAAAAATATTGAGAATCAGAAATACCAACGAGCTGCAGACAACAATTGATATAGACGTTGCTCGAGCTCGTATCTGAAAGTAAACATTACCCTATGTATATGAAATTTAAATTATAAGAGAACCCACCTTATGTGGAAACATTTCGACTATCAGCACAAAAATGCAGCTAATCAAGCCAATGTTGCCCAGAAATATGTCAAGAGACATCAAAGCTACGGGCACCCAGCTCCAGCCGCCCAAATCGTAAATGTTCGAATAGTGTGTAAAGAGGCCAAAAGCGGTTAGACTCATAGCCACGCCCGCTGACGAAATCAACATCAGTATTTTGCGTCCACAAACATCGCACAAGAGTGTGCTCACGTAGGCGCCTAAAATTTGGACTACTCCAATAATAATCGAACTGGTATTCGGATCCATGTTGCTGCCCGATTTTGCAAATATATCCGACATATAGTTGACCATTGTAAAGAGCCCGCTAAACTGATTGGCAATGACTATTACCCCAGCCATGGCATAGCCCTTGGCCGCAAGAGGTGTCACTGAATATTGAATTAGAAATTTAGAAGTTACCTTGGAAAATGTGCTTCCACTTACAGAAATCCTTTAGGCTGACCTTATCGGGCACATTGTCATCCCCGTTGGTCAGCTTCAACTTAATATTCTCAAATTCCAGCATGGCCAAAGTTTGCTTATCCAGACTGTCACTATCTTTAATGTTCTTATAGTATCGAAACGACTTCTCAGCTGCTGCAAACCTTAGCTTGCGTATGAGCTGCATGGGGGAGTCCCGTATGAACAGCAAAACGAAGGTGAAATAGCTCAGAGGACAAATTAGCATTACGGCAGGCATTGTGTGGTACGCTAAGTGTGTGCCCAGTATATAACCCAGAAGTATGCCAATATTTACAGAGAGCATGACTAGTGAAGCCAGAGTTCCACGAATGCTGTGGAAGATAAAACAAATTTCATTGCGAGTTGACTCACCCTCGAGCTGTAGTACAATTTCTAGTCATCATTTACAATTCCTAGAGTTTCATGTGTGACAAGCAAGAGTGCCTGACTAGTAAATACCTTGAACCCTGCCTTGCTTCTCTCATGCATACATCACAAAAGCACTCGCTTACTGCGTAGCTAATCGTAATCAAATTTTCAAAGCGAAAGGTATATAAAATCCGAAATATTTAAAATCGGTATATTCATCAAAGGAACAACATTTAAATCCTATAGCTTTTGAGGTACTCGAGCTATGACTAGGAAACCAAATCGAATAATCATTTATGATCGATAGTGAGGAAATCGATGAACTATCGATAAAAACTATCCATATACATTTCAAATAGCAAGTCCTTGGCTTTTTTAGCTTACAACAGACATTCATAGACGGACAGGATAAATCCACTCAGCTCCTCATCGAGAGCAAGTAGAAATCTGACTTACTTAGCATCGGAAATTTCACTGAGAAATAATGGATGTATTATGTAGATGCCTCCGCCCGTAATGCCAGCCAAGAAACGACCCACAATCAAGAACTCGACGCTCTGGGCAAAGTAGACCAAAAACCAAAGGCACTAGAAAACGTATATTTGTATAAACGATAAACGAGGGTGGTTCGAATAATTTAAAACAAATTTTGTTTGTTCTTCCATTACGTACCGTGTGTGGCACCGCTATGCATAGCAAACAGAGCCTGGCCCCAAAGCGATTAATGAATAATCCACTAAGTATATTGCCCGTCATGGAACCCAAGCCCAAGGCCGAACCCACCCACGAAACATCGTTGACATCCATTGCAAACTGAAGTGGCGATGATGTCGATTGCAGTTTGCGTAACGTGGGCGAGAGCCAGCCAATGCCCATGCCATGCGATATGCATATTAGATTAACTGTAAAGCTATACAGATAAAGAACGCTGTGAGGCACTGCCCAGCTGTAGGTATCACTCACTGAGCATTGTCGCGAGCAATTGATGGCGATTCCTCTGATTGAGCAAACAGTTGGCACGCCTCCAGCATTTCGCCATCATTTTTCCCAGCTTCTAGATTCAGTCTATGTCGGAAGAAAGTTGACTTGCTACTGAAGTTGTCTCTCCATAAAGAAATGCATTCAGATATAAACTTTTGTAGACCGCAACAATATAAAGATAAGTAGTAAACAAAGAGTACTCGAGTGAGCTGCAATAAAAGCATTTCTATTTCTGTTCTTTGTTGAATTTGAAACGCATTATGACTCGGGTTTCTGTAGATGTTAGAGGCTAGCAAACGATGCCTCCTCATGATTCAGCCAGGCTAATGCAATCATACTTTCAAGCTCGCAAGCTGACTTGAAGGAAGACTTTTCCTAAAGCATAAATATCTCATTATGGGTCTAACTGGATTAACCAATAACAGCAGAAGTCAATCAATGTTCAGCATCTTAAGGACACTGCTCCTTAGCCCATGTGACTAAGCCCTATTTAATGGCATAGATTACGTTAGCTTACATTAAAGCCTAGTCTGTTTTATTTCTTAAGATGTATCTTAGATCTAATCTCCAGCTGAGAGACAATAAAAAGTCAAATAAGACATATGTCTCCTTTCTCCTACTCGTCGCATAGTTCAATATTAATAAAACCCTATTTAACTATATTTAAATTCAGGCTCAGGCACCTCAATCCTCGAGCATTGACTTGCCCTTGGTTTCCTTCAAGAAAAAGACAAAGTAAACAAAACCAAAGGCTGTGATGGCTGCACAAGACCACATCGTCACCGGAATACCCAATTGAGCCATGCAGATGGGTAAAATGTTGAGCGCTAGGAACACAAACATGCTGCAAACAACAATGGCAGAAGAAGCTGCCTTAGACCGTATCTGCCAGGTAGAAATATATATAATATAGCTATATGAATAAGAAATCATTGACTATCAGAAACTCTCACCTTAAGCGGAAACATCTCAACGAGCACAACAAAGAAGCATCCAATGAGTCCGACATTACCCAGAAAGATATACGAGGACATGAACAACAGTGGCACCCAGCTCCACTCACTTAAGTCGTGCCACTGTGCGAAGTAGCTGAATAGACCGAAGGCTGTCAGACTGACGACCACCCCAGCTGTCGAGACTATCAGCAGGATTCTACGACCCCAAATATCGCAGAGAAGCGTAGTCGTATATGATCCCAATATCTGAACAATGCCAATCACAATAGTACATGTATCAGGATTCATAGTGCTCCCCGACAGCGCAAATATGTCCGACATATAGTTGATCATCGCAAAGAGCCCACTGAATTGATTCACAATAACAAGAACAGCAGCTGAGCCATAAGCTCTGATGGCAGCTCGAGTTACTAAGAAAGGAAATTACTTGAGAACCATTATATGTCCTTGGCAATATTAAACTTACAGAAGTCCTTGACGGTGAGCTTATCCGAGTTCTTATCGCTCTGTGTCAGTGTCTCCTTCATAGCCTCGAATTCAGGCATTTCGCTAATCTGATTCTCTTCCTTGATGTTCTTATAGTACCTGAAGGATTGCTCTGCCTCCGAGTACTTGCCCTTGCGGATGAGATGCATCGGAGATTCGCGTATGAAGAAGAGATTAGAAATGAAGTAGCTAACAGGTAAGATGAGCACAACGAATGGAATTATGTGATAGGCCAGATGGGTGCCCAATATGTAGCCCAGGAGTACGCCCACGTTTACCGAGAGCATGACCATAGAACCGAATGTCCCTCGAATTCTGAAAGAGTTCAAATGATTACACTTGATGGCAGAGTAAGTCCAAATGAGCTTGAAGCTTTTCTCTTTCGCTCACTCTCTAGTCACTCACTTGGCATCTGAGATTTCACTGAGGAATATCGGATGTACAATGTACATGCTGCCGCTAGAAATGCCAGCTAGGAAGCGTCCGATGAACAGATATTCCGTGCTCTTCGCAAAGTAGACCAGGAACCAGAGGCACTGAATGAGGCATTTAACACTCTATGTGTACAGATTCTATAATACTCGACTTCAGTGCTTACCGAGTGTGGAAAGGCTATGATGAGCAGGCAGAGGCGACTGCCCACGTGTGAATGGATAACACCCATCAGGATGTTGCCCACTACCGCGCCTAGCCCTAAGGCGGAGCCAACCCAGGAGATCTCCGTGATGCTCAAGGAAAACTCGACAGGCGACTCGTCAGATTGTATCTTACGTAAGGTGGGCGACAGCCAGCCCACGCCAATGCCATGTGCAATGCATATCAGGTTTACTAGAAGCGGGCTTTACGATAGTCAAATATTGGTTTAAGAGATCTCTCTTTGCACTCACTGAACAGCGTGGATAGAAATTGATGGCGATTTCTTCGATTCAGCAGACAACTTGAACTTTGGAATAATTTTACAAACATTTTAAAGATCCAACCTGACCAAGGCGCATTTGAATACTGAATAATGGGGCTTGGCTCCCACTGACTTTAATAGGTTCGGGGACTGCTGCATTTGAACTCGAACTAAAGATAAAAGCTGCTATAAAGATTAAAGTTGTTCATGCAAATATATAAGTCACTCAGATGGGATTCTATTACACAAAAATTCATATACAAATATATAAATATATATATTTTTATATAGATATATAAGTCAACCTAAGCATGGGTCAGCAATTGCACGCATAGGACTGACACAGCTGAAGCGTTCTCAGCTGTGCTTAGGTGGCATGCCGAAGATCACAACCCGGACCACGAGCTTACGCCGCTGGTCCGAGACATCAAACCTAATAAAATTCATATGTGTAAATAATATTGTGGACAGATAACATTTTGTATTTACATATTCCAGAGAGAAGTTATTCAACTAAACAAGGTTAAATGCAAAGATTTGCAGAGAAAGTTATTTGCTTGCCACGCCCCTCTGGAGGAGTGAATATTAAATGTTTGGACAACTCGTAGAGAGGGTCAAAGCAAGTCACTTGTTCAATATATCATTTTCGATAGAGACAGATAGAGGAGCTCGACAGTATCACAGTTGTCAGTTGTTTGAGTCTCTCGCTGTAAAACTACATGTGATAAGGTTTCATTTTGCCACACCCCCATGGGCATAGATATCTACTATATATGCCTAATTGCTGGTTGTCAACACAATTTCAAGTGCTCGCATCAATAGCACTCAAAATACATCAAGTCTAATACAAGACTCTATATAGTAAGTCCATAAAAAGCTACTTCAAGCCTTTAGCAAGACTGAAATAGGGCAATAAATAGACTCTATTCACTTCCTGAACCACTCCATAAATTAAACATTTTGCTTAAACGATTCAAATGTGGAATGTGTTTTATTTTACTTCAATTATTTATATGTATATAGTTCTAGTCCCATGACCCGCAGTACCTAACTGCTTAAGTTCTACTTCCCAACAGGAAAACTCTAAGCTTTATCTATTATATATTTTGTCAAGAATTCTTCAAATGATTTTAGCCGTGCTTGAGTCCACTCCGAAGTTGATTGTTGGTTTCAGTCCTCCAGCATAGACTTGCCCTTGGTTTCCTTCAAGAAGAGGAGAAAGTAAACAAAGCAAATTGCTGTGATGCCTCCACAAGACCACATCGTCAGCGGTATACCCCATTGATCCATGCACAGCGGAAAAATTTTGAGCATGATAAACATGAACATGCCGCAGACAACAAGTGCAGTCGACGTTGCTTCGGCGCGTATCTGAAACGTGTCAAATTCCAATCAGCATATTCACAATTTCAAGTTAATATCGCGTACCTTGAGTGGAAAAAGCTCGACCAGCAAGACAAAGAAGCAGCCCATGAGCCCGATGTTTCCCAAATATATGTACAAGGATATGAACAACAGTGGCACCCAGCTCCACTCACTTAAGTCGTGCCACTGTGCGAAGTAGCTGAATAGACCGAAGGCTGTCAGACTGACGACCACCCCAGCTGTCGAGACTATCAGCAGGATTCTACGACCCCAAATGTCGCAGAGAAGGGTTGTCGTATATGTTCCCAATATCTGAGCAATGCCTATGACTATAGTACAGGTATTTGGGTCCATAGTGCTGCCCGACCTGGCAAATATGTCCGACATATAGTTGATCGTCGCAAAGAGCCCACTGAATTGATTCACAATAACAAGAACAGCAGCTGAGCCATAAGCTCTGATGGCAGCTCGAGTTACTAAGAAAGGAAATTACTTGAGAACCATGATATGTGCTTGGCAATATTAAACTTACAGAAGTCCTTGACGGTGAGCTTATCCGAGTTCTTATCGCTCTGTGTCAGTGTCTCCTTCATAGCCTCGAATTCAGGCATTTCGCTAATCTGATTCTCTTCCTTGATGTTCTTATAGTACCTGAAGGATTGCTCTGCCTCCGAGTACTTGCCCTTGCGGATGAGATGCATCGGAGATTCGCGTATGAAGAAGAGATTAGAAATGAAGTAGCTAACAGGTAAGATGAGCACAACGAATGGAATTATGTGATAGGCCAGATGGGTGCCCAATATGTAGCCCAGGAGTACGCCCACGTTTACCGAGACCATGACCATAGAACCAAATGTCCCTCGAATTCTGAAAGAGTTCAAATGATTACACTTGATGGCAGAGTAAGTCCAAATGAGCTTGAAGCTTTTCTCTCTCGCTCACTCTCTAGTCACTCACTTGGCATCTGAGATTTCACTGAGGAATATCGGATGTACAATGTACATGCTGCCGCTAGAAATGCCAGCTAGGAAGCGTCCGATGAACAGATATTCCGTGCTCTTCGCAAAGTAGACCAGGAACCAGAGGCACTGAATGAGGCATTTAACTTTCTATGTGTACAGATTCTATAATACTCGACTTCAGTGCTTACCGAGTGTGGGAAGGCTATGAATAGCAGACAGAGGCGACTGCCAACCCACGAGTGAATAATTCCCATCAAGATGTTACCCAGTACAGTGCCTAAGCCTAAGGCGGCGCCCACCCAGGAGATTTCCGAGATGCTCAGCGAAAACTCGAGAGGCGACTCGTCTGATTGTATCTTACGTAAGGTGGGCGACAGCCAGCCCACGCCAATGCCATGAGAAATGCAAATCAGATTTACTGGAAGTGGAAATTAGTGGTTTCAATTGATGAATTAGATTTCCCTCTGCGCACTCACTTAACAGCGTGGTTAGAAATTGATATCGATTTCTGCGGCTTAGCAAACAATTTGGATTTTCAAATAGTTTCAGCAACATTTTGCAACTAAAATTTATTTGCCAACTCAGTCGAATTTAAGTTGCTGCACTGGTCAAGCTTTAATAAAATACTGAATAGTGAAACTTGCTTTTCATGAGCTCAACAGGTTGGGGCTGCTGCTTTTGGCCAAGAGTTGAAGTTGTTGCCAAGACTAGGCTTGCTCAGGCCAGCCTATGAGCTGAGCAGCTGTATAACGAGCAGCTCGATTGCATTTGTTTATGAAAAGTGCAACAAAAGTTACTCAACTCTACAAGGTCAAGACTGAAGTAAATGAATGAAATAAATAGTAAAATATAATATTCAAATGGGAGAAATTAAATATTTGTCTGTTTCGAAGGTGAGGGAAGGTGCCCGCATTAGCATGAGTCAAGAATCTTATTATTGAGACTCCAACTCGATCTGTATTAAGTTCAACTTCCAACATCGTGCGCTACTTTAACCTATTATATTACCATGATCCGTAATAAAGATGCTTAAGATAGGTCCGTCATCTTTTTAATTTACAATTTACATTCCATTCACTAAAATTTGTCTAAAATATTACATATTTACCTTAATTATTAAAAATAATATTTTTAACTAAAATATAATGCTCAATTCTATCAAGGATCCAGCATTGATTTGCCTTTAGTCTCTTCCAGAAAGAACAGAAAAAAGACAAAGCCAACAAATGCAACAAGACTCGAGCTCCACAAGGTGATCGATATGCCCCAATATTTTAAGCAGAGTGGAAAGATCTTCAGAGACAGAAAAACCATGCTGCTAAGCACGATCACAAATGCAGATACAGCAACTGAGCGGATCTAAAAATATTGATTATTCCATTATTTAAAAGACAGAAAGAGAGAGAGAGAGAGAGTAGATTCTCACCTTGGCTGGCATTAGTTCCACCAGCACGACAAACAAGACGCCCACCAGACCAATATTGCAAACAAACACATCCAAGGATAACAGCAGCAGAGGCATCCAGCCAACTGAGGAGAGATCGTAGCGCTCTGCAAAATAGGTGAAGGAGCCGAAGGCAGCCAGACAAATGCCACAGCCCAGACTGGAGATCAAGAGCAATATCTTGCGACCAAATCTGTCGCATATCAATGTGGTCGTATAGGTGCCCACGATCTGAATGACTCCGATGATAATGGTGCACATGCCTATGTCCAAGGTGGTATGTGAGAGAGCAAAAACATCCGACATATACGAAGCAAAGCAGAAGGTGCCAGTAAATTGATTCGTGAATATCAGCATAATAGCTATAGAATAGGCCTTCAAGGCACGTGGAGTCACTGCGAAAATGGAAGGCTTAAAAGAGTGCAATAAGTGTGTGCTGCTTCGGTGCTTACCAAAGTCTTTGTAATTGAAGGCATTCACATTTAAAGCCCTCTCCTTGGTCAATTTCAGTTTAATATCCTCGAACTCCAGCATGGAGCTTTTGTCATCCTCGCTGATATTTTTGTAGTATCTAAAAGACTTTTCAGCTGCAGCAAATTTGCCTTTGTTGATCAAGTGGAACGGCGTCTCGGGGAGAAATAGATTGCTAATGAAATAGCAAATGGGAAGGGGTAGGACAAAGAAGGGTGCCAGATAATAGTCAACATTTGTGGATAAGATATAGCCCATTAGGATGCCCATGTTAACAGAGAGCATGACCATGGAGGCAAGGCGACCGCGTATCCTATAAGATATAAGGAAGGTTTTGTAAAGAAAGGTGGAGTATATTTATAAGTAGACTCACTTGGCATCTGATATTTCACTGATGAATATGGGCAGCACAATGTAACCTCCTCCACCTGTAACGCCAGCCAAAAGACGAGCAAGGTACAGATACTCCACGCTCTGGGCGAAGTAGGACAACAGCCAGAAACACTAGAGCAAGATTGAGCTGGGGGTAAGTGGGCAGCTGTAAGGACAGGTCAACTACTCACTACATACGGCGCAGTTAGAGCAAGCATTACGGGCTTTCGCCCTATGCGATCCTGCAGTAGGCCAGCTAGTAGGTTACCAACAACACTGCCAATGCCCAGCAGAGACCCTATCCAGGAAATCTGCTCCACAAACACCTCGAAGCTGAGTGGTGAGTCGGGCGTCTGCAAAGCTCTCATCACAGGCGACATCCAACCGATGCCAATGCCATGAGCAAAAGTCGAAAAGTTCACTACGGAAGGAAGAGCCAATTGAAATTTCTTTCGTGTATCCACTAAGTCTTGGCTCACCTAGAAACGTGGCCAGGAACTGATGACGATTTCTGCGATTCAGCAGATTATCCGAATGCTCAAGTACTGTGCCCGTTGTCATCTTCCTTGCGCTCTAACCAGTTGAAGCTCATGTCTCTGACTGACTGCTGCAGGTCTTTAGAATCATATAATAAAGAGTCTATAGTCTAGATTAGAAAGCTGTGACTCTGACAGACAACCTCAGATAAAGGTTAGATAAGATATTATTTTTACAGCTTCTACTAAATGCTGAATGTGTATGGGTTAAGTAAAAATTAATTTATTGTAGTATTAGCTCAAATATAAAGCTCAACGCTCCTTGCCTTTAGTCTCATGGCAGACGTAACAAACTGTAGAAGAAAGTTAAGGCTGGAATCAGCTGGTGAAGCAGTAGCAGAAGCAATTTCAATGTGGCGAAGCTCGAAACTCATAAGACTATAAACATAGATGTGACAAGCGAATATGTCCGAAAAGTTGGGTTTATTTTCAATTTCTACTCTGAAACAGCAGTGAATATTTAGTTCTATACCTAAATCAATTTAAGAATAATGTTTAGTCATTCAATTAGGAATGGGTTAAAACTGAGATGAGTAAGACTTCTAAACAAATGGATCAGACACAAAAGAAAATATTAAAAGCTTGTTGAATATTCTCAGTACTTCAAAGCAATCTGCAAAATATTTGTCCAAGTAATAAATTGATTTTTAAAAAGAACTTTAAATGCATTGTGAAATAGCCCACAGAATTTTACATTTTGCGCATCATTGAGATATTTTACTATAATCTGGCCAGTAAAACTTTAGTTCCAAGTAAGTAAAACTGGCAACAGAATTGCTCATTCATTTTATGGGCCAAGATTTCTAGTAAATTCATAAGGCAAACAACGAGTGACAGTTCCACTATTTGCGTTGTTTTCGAAAGAGCTGAACTTGGGGCAGGTCAGGTCGTATATGGCTTTTATCTGTGTCTGGTTATTATCTTGTCTTACTTCTGATGAAAACTTACGAGTGCCATATCGCATGCTCCTGAAAGTCGACTTTAATATTTACATTTGAGTTTCACTGATCTCAAAAGTATTTCCCAGCGAAGCGAAGAGCCAACTGTAAATCCTCTCAAGCATCAACTAAGCCTTAAGCGAGTAGCTCAGCTAGAAAAATGAATAGGAAGAGATGATGATTTCTGCGATGCAGCAGTTTATTCGAAGGCTCAAGTACTTTGCTAGTTGAAGCTTATATCTCTGACTGATTCGACTGAAATGTAGTGTATTCTCTAGAATGGGAGTGACGCTGTCCCAGCAACAGCTAAGGCCAGGTACGAACTTTGTTTACTACTCCCACCCAGCAAAAGTTGTGTGTGTTGACATGAATTTATTATTCCCTGCACAAATATGCAAGACTCAATCCTCAATCATGGACTTGCCTTTAGTCTCTGGCAGAAATAACAAGAAGTATACAAAAGTCAGCAGACTGGAAGCAGCCGAGAACCACATGGTGACCGATATGCCAAAATAATGGAGTAGAAGCGGAAATAATTTCAATGTGCCAAAAACCAAGACACTTAGAAACACCACCGACATGGAAGTGGCCAGAGAACGTATCTGGAAAGAGAAGATAATGGGTAAAGATATATCATATATTATTGAGTTGAGCCTACCTTGGCTGGAAAGAGTTCCACAAGCACCACGAAGAACAGTCCAATCAGTCCAATGTTACCCAAGTATATTATTATTATCATCAGCACTAATGGCACCCAATTAAGATAGCTCAAGTCGTAGAACTGGGCAGAGTATGTGAAGCAGCCGAAGACGATGCAACCCAGAGCAACGCCTAACGTCGAGATCAGCATCAGGATGCGACGTCCAATAATGTCCACGAGGATGGTCGAGGTGTAGACGCCAACAATTTGCACGACGCCAATGATAATGGTGCAGATGTTGACATCCAGAATAGAGCCCGATGCCTCGAATATGGTGGACATATAGTTGATGAAACTGAAGATTCCACTGAACTGATAGCCCGTGGAGAGAACGATAGAAGCTGCGAAGGCCTTCAAGGCGGTCTTGGTGACTAATATAAATGGAATATATGGAATAGTATTCATAGAATCGATGGATTTCTTACTCAGATCCCTATATGTTAGGGCAGCATGACTCTGTGCCTGCTGCGCGTCTATGGCCAATCGCAGTTCGTCGAAGTTCGCCTTGGAGACCTGCTCCATGCCCCTTTTCTGATTTTGATAGTATCTAAAGGAAGTTTCAGCTGCATTCAATTGACTTCGTCTCAGTAGATATGGCGCCGTCTCGGGCAGAAAGAGATTGGCTGTAAAGTAAGCTATGGGCAAGATGATGGCCAGGAACGGCACGATGTGGTAAGCCAGGTAGGTGCTAAGTATATAGCCAACAAGTACGCCCAAGTTGACGGACAGCATGACCATAGAAGTCAAGGACCCCCGAATGCTGCAAGGTATACAAACCATATATATGAACACAACAAGATAAAGGTATAGAGAGGCAGCTATAAATGGATTTATAGCATATAAAGTGATAAAGATAGAGAGAAAGAGATATGGCCCCAACACTCACCTGCTGTCAGCCACCTCACTGATATAGATGGGCACCACCAAGTAGCCAGCGCCCCCAGTGAAGCCGCACAGAAAGCGAGCCACATACAAGTAGTACACATTCGAGGCGCAGTAGATGAGAATCCAGAGACACTGAAAGAGCATGTTGTTCGAGTGAAGCGCCCGGGTTTGACAGACACGACTTACCGCATAAGGTCCTGCCAGTAGGTAGATGCAAAACTTTCTGCCCATTCGTTCCAGCAGAAAGGCAATTGTCAAGTTGCCGAAGAGACTGCCCAAGCCCAGCATGGAGCCCAGCCAGGAAATCTCTGCGATGTCCACTTGAAAGTCGAGCGGCGTGTCGGGTGTTTGGATCTTGCTCAAGGTGGGCGACAGCCAGCCGACGCCCACGCCATGGCCAAATGTTATAATGTTGACTAAAACAATCTTAAGCTAAAGTCCAAGCCTCCGATGCCAACGAAACTTACCTATGACAGTGGCCAGCAGCTGGTAGCGCGTCTTCTCATTCAAGAGCGAATACTGCTTTAATTTTGTCATTGGAATACAAATTTGAAGACCTCCAAGCAATTACACTGCCCGTCGACGAATGCGACTTTAAGCATTTGTAGCCTTTAAATCTAAACGAGTTTAATTGATATTTTGCTAACTATAAAGCCATTATCGTATGGACACAGTCTATTGCATTCGTATTACCAGCTCTGGGAGTCTTCACGGCCCAGATGGTAGATCACATTAGAAAGATCTGTGCTTAAGCGAGTCAGACAATACTTAATGGCTGCCATAAAGATAAGTTGGCTGAGCGAGCGTTAATTACACAAGGAAAGCCACTAAAGCCATGAAAGGCGTGAATGATAAGATTTACTTTACCTCCTGGGTCTATTTTCCAGGTGTTGTATACTATCGGAAATGGCGTGTTTAAAAAGAAGGCTTGTCTCTCCTCTGCGACAAGGCTGTCAGTCTCTATCAGACTCTCAGGCGTAAATTACAAATGAATAAAAGAGAAATATATATTATAATCATATTAAACTGTCGAGACATTTGCTCTTTCATTTTATGAGCCTAATATTTGTTTAGATTTGTAATATTTCATAAGGCCAACAACCTATGACAGTTCCTCTATTTGCGTTCTTCTCGAAAAAGCTACAGTTAAGTAAGGTCAGAATGGAGAATGCCAATATTTTGAGCTAATTTATAAATATTAAACAAGTATTCACAACTACTTTTAGACTCCATACCATAGCTAGTCAGTGGGTCTTAAGTATTAATTCCTTATTCTAATCTATTCTTTTCTACTGTCTTTCAGTTTCATCTGAGTCCTCGGCGACCCAGAGGATGTAATCTGTAATCAACCTTCGTCTGTTGTTATTGACGCTGCAGTGGAACTGTAAGTGAGTATTCACCAAGGCAATATCATATTCGCCTAAAAGTCGAAGTTGGTTATTTCTTATAGACATATCAGCCAGACATATCAGCTGGCATTTTTTATTTAAAATACGAAAAAAGCTAAACAACTAAAAGTCCGAATAGTGCGTCAACTATCAAATCGTGTTTAGTAAAGAATCGGGTCTCAAAATGAATATATTAGAAAATATTTTGAATATCGCTAAACAACTTCCCCCTAGCTCAATTTGTTGCATAAGATTTGCTTAACTTTTAGATTTCATATTTTAGATTACATATTTCCAGTATTTTTCTTATTTTTATATAAGATATATATATATAATTTATAAATAAAAGTTTAGTTTCATAATATATCTAGGGATCCAGCATTGATTTTCCTTTAGTCTCTTCCAGAAAGAACAGAAAAAAGACGAAGGCAACAAATGCAACAAGACTCGAGCTCCACATGGTGATCGATATGCCCCAATACTGCATGCAGAGAGGAAAGATCTTAAGAGACACGAAGACCGTGATGCTAAGCACGATCACAAATGCAGAAACAGCAACCGAGCGTATCTAAATTATAAAAAGGTTTGCATAGAACAGATCTCTGTTAGAGTAGTTTGAATATGGACTTACCTTGGCTGGCATTACTTCCACTAGAACCACAAACAACACTCCCACCAGACCAATATTGCAAACAAACACATCCAAGGATAACAGCAGCAGAGGCATCCAGCCAACTGAGGAGAGATCGTAGCGCTCTGCAAAATAGGTGAAGGAGCCGAAGGCAGCCAGACAAATGCCACAGCCCAGACTGGAGATCAAGAGCAATATCTTGCGACCAAATCTGTCGCATATCAATGTGGTCGTATAGGTGCCCACGATCTGAATGACTCCGATGATAATGGTGCACATGCCTATGTCCAAGGTGGTATGTGAGAGAGCAAAAACATCCGACATATACGAAGCAAAGCAGAAGGTGCCCGTAAATTCAGTGGCGAATATCAGTACCGTAGCAATGGCATATGCTTTCAAAGCAGGTGGAGCAACTGCAACAAGGGAAGAGAGTTATATATCGAAGGCCAAGTAGAGTATTTACTTCATACCAAAGTCCTTGTAATGCAAGCCCTTCACATTCAATGTCCTCTCCTTGGTCAGTTTCAGTTTAATATCCTCGAACTCCAACATGGAGCTTTTGTCATCCTCCCTGATATTTTTGTAGTATCTGAAAGACTTTTCAGCAGCTCCAAATTTGCCTTTGTTGATCAAGTGGAACGGCGTCTCGGGAAGAAACAGATTGCTTATGAAATAGCAAATGGGAAGGGGTAGGACAAAGAAAGGTGCCAGATAATAGTCAACATTTGTGGATAGGATATAGCCCACTAGAATGCCAATATTAACCGAGAGCAGCAGAATAGAGCCAAGGCGACCTCGGACTCTGTGAGGAAATCATGAAGTATACTAATATAGATGGTAGAGCTTTATGCTCGCTTACTTGGCGTCTGATATTTCGCTAACGAACATGGGTAGAACGACATAGCCAGCGCCACCTGTAATGCCAGCAAAAAAGCGAGCTATATACAAATACTCCACGCTCTGTGCGAAGTAGGATAGCAGCCAGAAGCACTGATAAACAAATGTCAATTAGTGGCCGTCCGCCTGAACCCCAGTTGTCTCCACCTACTCACCATATTCGGCACAGCCAGAGCTAACAAAATAGGCTTCCTGCCGATTCGATCCTGCAGAAAGCCGGCCAGTATATTTCCCGCAAGACTGCCAATACCTATCAGCGAGCCAATCCAAGATACTTCCTCCACAAATACCTCGAAGCTGAGGGGTGAGTCTGGCGTCTGCAAAGCTCGCATCACAGGCGACATCCAACCAATGCCAATGCCATAAACAAAGGGCGATATATTCACTAGATAATGAGGTGCCATAATGGACTTCTTAAGTAATCACTCTGCTGCTCGCTCACCTAGAAATGTGGCTAGAAACTGGTAACGATTTCTGCCATTCAGTAGACTATCCGAGAGCTCAGCCACTGTGCCCGCTGCCATTGTGTTTGATCGCATACCATTGACTGAAGTAAAAGCACCAGATGAAAGACATTCTTCAGTCTAATCTTTATCCAAAATGAAATGAAATGAAAATGAAAATAGATAAGAAATTTTTGATACTTTCAGCAAAAGTTGTGCAGGTTGAGATTAAGTTAAAACTTATTTATTGCAGCTTGCCCAGACACTGCTCATCAGAGCCAGCAGAAATGCTTTAGTAACTCAACGAACTGCCCCAGCTCAATTTGAAACTCAGGGAGTAAACCTCTGCGATGCCCACTCAAACGTAGAGGCACGTGTCGTAATCAACGCCAAAGACTACATTTTATAATGTTGTCTAACTTATTATAATTAAAAAGTAAGCCCTAAAATAAGATAAAAAATCTTCCATTACTTAACTTTGCCTGTTGTCGAGAGATGACTTCATGTGTATCTCCACATGGTGTATACGTCTATGCCTATGTTTAAATTTCTGTATGATATGAGCAGACGGATATACGGATAGGCGAACAAACAGGCGCACAGCAAGACTAGCATCGTAGGTGTGCCAGGCGTTCTATACCCTTTTGTTGAAATAGGGTTTTTAAGATAATGTAATTTATTATTGGGTTACTAACTAAATTTAAGCTTCTCATCAGCTAGTAAAACTACCAGCTAGTAACTACACAGCCTAAAACACTGCCCACACAAGCAAGAAAATCGACGAAGTGTTCGAAGTCTCTCTCTCTCTCTCCATAAATCCCCTGGACCTTCCACATCGTCATAGCGGAATCCCCCAAATTGTTATACCCCCTAAGCCCTCACTTTAATCCCCTAATCCTCCTTTAAGTTAAAACTTATTTATTGCAGCTTGCCCAGACACTGCTCATCAGAGCCAGCAGAAATGCTTTAGTAACTCAACGAACTGCCCCAGCTCAATTTGAAACTCAGGGAGTAAACCTCTGCGATGCCCACTCAAACGTAGAGGCACGTGTCGTAATCAACGCCAAAGACTACATTTTATAATGTTGTCTAACTTATTATAATTAAAAAGTAAGCCCTAAAATAAGATAAAAAATCTTCCATTACTTAACTTTGCCTGTTGTCGAGAGATGACTTCATGTGTATCTCCACATGGTGTATACGTCTATGCCTATGTTTAAATTTCTGTATGATATGAGCAGACGGATATACGGATAGGCGAACAAACAGGCGCACAGCAAGACTAGCATCGTAGGTGTGCCAGGTGTTCTATACCCTTTTGTTGAAATAGGGTTTTTAAGATAATGTAATTTATTATTGGGTTACTAACTAAATTTAAGCTTCTCATCAGCTAGTAAAACTACCAGCTAGTAACTACACAGCCTAAAACACTGCCCACACAAGCAAGAAAATCGACGAAGTGTTCGAAGTCTCTCTCTCTCTCTCCATAAATCCGCTGGACCTTCCACATCGTCATAGCGGAATCCCCCAAATTGTTATACCCCCTAAGCCCTCACTTTAATCCCCTAATCCTCCCCCTTTAATCATACAAAAAATTCAATATAAATGTAAATGAAATGTAAATTGAATTTGATGATTTTTTAGAAAACAGAACAGAAGCAAATATAAATAATAAAAACAACAAAAAACTATATAACTATATATATATTTATATATATATATATAAGTTAACACATAACATTTAATATAGGGTATTTCATAAGTTTATAACCAACCCTCGCTATCGCGTGTTTCGTAAGTTAAGAAACAGCCCTCGCAATTGCGACACTGCATACTTTGTATCAGCGCGCTATAACTGCAATGGTCAGCGGCGGTAACCAGATACTTTTGTTTACTGCAAGAGTTTCCGTTATTGCCTAAGATTGCTGAGTCGGCTTGCCGACCATGACATTGTGGTGTGATGCGAGTTTTGGCTTAGCTTAAGTGAAATATTCTATGTAGCTAAAAATCAGTTTTGCATTGAAGTTTGAAGAATAAACCCGCACTACTCCGGCACACCGCCGTAATCAAATTGTTATATTTCTGATCATTGCTGAGCCACAAGGCCAGTTAATAGAAAAGGGGGTGAAGTCAAACCCTCCAACATAATCATCATAAGAAGATTATAATTACCCGATCAACGCTGGACCTGCCACCGACGCCTAGCTCATAGCTGGACCAGCAACTTATTGATTAAGACTATAAATACCCGATCAACGCTGGACCTGCCACCGACGCCTAGTTCATCGCTGGACCAGCAACATATTAATTGGCGCCCAACATTAAACAAGCTTGCAGAAAAATTACGATTTATCCTGTCATTCACAAGAATTTCATATTGCGATTGCCTGACAACGTCATAGCCGAATGCGATGGAAAAACCCACACACTGCAGAGTTGCACCGCTTCACCTGGAGCCACCTTTTGTCGTCTGGCATTAGAGAGTTCATGTGCCAAAGAGCTCCATGCAGGTGGCACGGCACACTGTGAAATCCAGCCGAGCAACCTGGAAATAATCACCCACGTAGATGATGGAATCATCATTCTTAACGACGGGTCCGCAAGGATCCAGGTGGATAACGGCACTGAAATCCAAGTACACGGCACGCATCTCATTACGTTCGGGGACCGAGTCGCGATCAACGGGACTCTGTTTTACAACCACAACAACGTACGCAATAGAGTCCCGGGCATTGCCAACTCTCCCTTGCTGAACATCACTGCCAGCCAAGATGTCCTCAGCCTCCCTTATCTTCATCGTTTAAATGAACGTAATTTGGAGGAGATACAGCAATTCAAGAAAGACGCCGGAACTGATCAAGCTTATCGTGTGGCATTCATCATTGGAGGTATATGCTGTGCTTTAATCTGCATTGGCCTCACCCTTTGGCGGTTCATCGACGCAAGGAAGTCTGCGAAGCAATTACGAGAAGTCGTCGCCGGAATTGGGTCGGCCGAGGGCGGCCTTACACTTGAAGGGGGAGTAGTTAACACATAACATTTAATATAGGGTATTTCATAAGTTTATAACCAACCCTCGCTATCGCGTGTTTCGTAAGTTAAGAAACAGCCCTCGCAATTGCGACACTGCATACTTTGTATCAGCGCGCTATAACTGCAATGGTCAGCGGCGGTAACCAGATACTTTTGTTTACTGCAAGAGTTTCCGTTATTGCCTAAGATTGCTGAGTCGGCTTGCCGACCATGACATTGTGGTGTGATGCGAGTTTTGGCTTAGCTTAAGTGAAATATTCTATGTAGCTAAAAATCAGTTTTGCATTGAAGTTTGAAGAATAAACCCGCACTACTCCGGCACACCGCCGTAATCAAATTGTTATATTTCTGATCATTGCTGAGCCACAAGGCCAGTTAATAGAAAAGGGGGTGAAGTCAAACCCTCCAACATAATCATCATAAGAAGATTATAATTACCCGATCAACGCTGGACCTGCCACCGACGCCTAGCTCATAGCTGGACCAGCAACTTATTGATTAAGACTATAAATACCCGATCAACGCTGGACCTGCCACCGACGCCTAGTTCATCGCTGGACCAGCAACATATTAATTTATATATATATCTGTAGTTATTATTTGATTTAACATCATACTTATCATCCTGAAGTGATAATCCCCTAAAAGTAGACTTTAAAATTAATATTTATGTTAAGCTAATGTTCTTGGCTCATTCTATGAATCATTCTCTTTCACTTTATTTCCATTTAAATCTTTAACTACTTATATCTCTGTCTCTATTTCTCCCACTTTCTATTCCCCTGTTTGTTTCTCTTTATCGCTGCTCTCTCTTTTTCTATATTTATCCCTTTCTCTGTTAATTTGTTTGTCGCCCTCTTTCGTTTCCCATTTCTATAGATTATTCTCTATGCCTCTTATTTTTTCCCATCACTGTCTTTCTCTCTCGCTCTTTCTCACAATACCAGACAGATAATCAAAATCGTTAATCTCTTCTGAGCACCTGCACAGAATAAATGAAGCTGTCTTCAGGTTATAAAAATAGTTTCTCTAGCAAGAACTTTTTAATCTAATCAAAGAGGGCATTTGTAAGTCGCAGACAGGCGCGAACACAGAAGTTAAGTTCAAGGGGAAGCTGTTGGCCAACGGGCAGACAGTTAGCCAGATTGTTGCGCTTGACTAATTTTATGACAAAGACGCCACTTGTCTGGCATTTATATAATGTATACTCGTTTAAGTGCACTTGATCGTGTAAGATGCCTATAATATTTAATGTTGTAAGACGAGTAGAAATAGAAAACAATTAATAATTAACTAAAATGAATTAACTACAAACTAGCCAAAATAGTTTCAATTGTCTTGCCCCTCGTCTCTGGCAAAAATATGGCAATGAACAAGGTCCCGGCGAGGGTGCAGCAGGCGAAGAAGAGCACAGTCCCGTGCATGCCCCATGCAGCGGTCAGCAGTGGAATGAGCTATAGGAATGAAACAATCCTTAATATCGCTGAAGATCGAGCCAAGCACCGGGTACCTACCTTGATGGTCAGCATGGAGAGCAGCCAAAGCACGGACATAAGCACCATGATGGCCGTGCTGCGTATCTTGGGCGGCAGTATCTCAGAGATGACGAGGAAAGGCAGCGTCAACAGACCCCACGAGGCGATGAACAGCATGAAAGAGAACGCAGCAATGGGCACCCAATCGAAGCTGGACGTATCATATTGGAGCACCTTCATGTAACTGTGGCTAGCCATGATCAGCTGGCTGAGGCATCAGGATGCGACGTCCAATAATGTCCACGAGGATGGTCGAGGTGTAGACGCCAACAATTTGCACGACGCCAATGATAATGGTGCAGATGTTGACATCCAGAATAGAGCCCGATGCCTCGAATATGGTGGACATATAGTTGATGAAACTGAAGATTCCACTGAACTGATAGCCCGTGGAGAGAACGATAGAAGCTGCGAAGGCCTTCAAGGCGGTCTTGGTGACTAATATAAATTGAATATATGGAATAGTATTCATAGAATCGATGGATTTCTTACTCAGATCCCTATATGTTAGGGCAGCATGACTCTGTGCCTGCTGCGCGTCTATGGCCAATCGCAGTTCGTCGAAGTTCGCCTTGGAGACCTGCTCCATGCCCCTTTTCTGATTTTGATAGTATCTAAAGGAAGTTTCAGCTGCATTCAATTGACTTCGTCTCAGTAGATATGGCGCCGTCTCGGGCAGAAAGAGATTGGCTGTAAAGTAAGCTATGGGCAAGATGATGGCCAGGAACGGCACGATGTGGTAAGCCAGGTAGGTGCTAAGTATATAGCCAACAAGTACGCCCAAGTTGACGGACAGCATGACCATAGAAGTCAAGGACCCCCGAATGCTGCAAGGTATACAAACCATATATATGAACACAACAAGATAAAGGTACAGAGAGGCAGCTATAAATGGATTTATAGCATATAAAGTGATAAAGATAGAGAGAAAGAGATATGGCCCCAACACTCACCTGCTGTCAGCCACCTCACTGATATAGATGGGCACCACCAAGTAGCCAGCGCCCCCAGTGAAGCCGCACAGAAAGCGAGCCACATACAAGTAGTACACATTCGAGGCGCAGTAGATGAGAATCCAGAGACACTGAAAGAGCATGTTGTTCGAGTGAAGCGCCCGGGTTTGACAGACACGACTTACCGCATAAGGTCCTGCCAGTAGGTAGATGCAAAACTTTCTGCCCATTCGTTCCAGCAGAAAGGCAATTGTCAAGTTGCCGAAGAGACTGCCCAAGCCCAGCATGGAGCCCAGCCAGGAAATCTCTGCGATGTCCACTTGAAAGTCGAGCGGCGTGTCGGGTGTTTGGATCTTGCTCAAGGTGGGCGACAGCCAGCCGACGCCCACGCCATGGCCAAATGTTATAATGTTGACTAAAACAATCTTAAGCTAAAGTCCAAGCCTCCGATGCCAACGAAACTTACCTATGACAGTGGCCAGCAGCTGGTAGCGCGTCTTCTCATTCAAGAGCGAATACTGCTTTAATTTTGTCATTGGAATACAAATTTGAAGACCTCCAAGCAATTACACTGCCCGTCGACGAATGCGACTTTAAGCATTTGTAGCCTTTAAATCTAAACGAGTTTAATTGATATTTTGCTAACTATAAAGCCATTATCGTATGGACACAGTCTATTGCATTCGTATTACCAGCTCTGGGAGTCTTCACGGCCCAGATGGTAGATCACATTAGAAAGATCTGTGCTTAAGCGAGTCAGACAATACTTAATGGCTGCCATAAAGATAAGTTGGCTGAGCGAGCGTTAATTACACAAGGAAAGCCACTAAAGCCATGAAAGGCGTGAATGATAAGATTTACTTTACCTCCTGGGTCTATTTTCCAGGTGTTGTATACTATCGGAAATGGCGTGTTTAAAAAGAAGGCTTGTCTCTCCTCTGCGACAAGGCTGTCAGTCTCTATCAGACTCTCAGGCGTAAATTACAAATGAATAAAAGAGAAATATATATTATAATCATATTAAACTGTCGAGACATTTGCTCTTTCATTTTATGAGCCTAATATTTGTTTAGATTTGTAATATTTCATAAGGCCAACAACCTATGACAGTTCCTCTATTTGCGTTCTTCTCGAAAAAGCTACAGTTAAGTAAGGTCATGTGGCAGAATGGAGAATGCCAATATTTTGAGCTAATTTATAAATATTAAACAAGTATTCACAACTACTTTTAGACTCCATACCATAGCTAGTCAGTGGGTCTTAAGTATTAATTCCTTATTCTAATCTATTCTTTTCTACTGTCTTTCAGTTTCATCTGAGTCCTCGGCGACCCAGAGGATGTAATCTGTAATCAACCTTCGTCTGTTGTTATTGACGCTGCAGTGGAACTGTAAGTGAGTATTCACCAAGGCAATATCATATTCGCCTAAAAGTCGAAGTTGGTTATTTCTTATAGACATATCAGCCAGACATATCAGCTGGCATTTTTTATTTAAAATACGAAAAAAGCTAAACAACTAAAAGTCCGAATAGTGCGTCAACTATCAAATCGTGTTTAGTAAAGAATCGGGTCTCAAAATGAATATATTAGAAAATATTTTGAATATCGCTAAACAACTTCCCCCTAGCTCAATTTGTTGCATAAGATTTGCTTAACTTTTAGATTTCATATTTTAGATTACATATTTCCAGTATTTTTCTTATTTTTATATAAGATATATATATATAATTTATAAATAAAAGTTTAGTTTCATAATATATCTAGGGATCCAGCATTGATTTTCCTTTAGTCTCTTCCAGAAAGAACAGAAAAAAGACGAAGGCAACAAATGCAACAAGACTCGAGCTCCACATGGTGATCGATATGCCCCAATACTGCATGCAGAGAGGAAAGATCTTAAGAGACACGAAGACCGTGATGCTAAGCACGATCACAAATGCAGAAACAGCAACCGAGCGTATCTAAATTATAAAAAGGTTTGCATAGAACAGATCTCTGTTAGAGTAGTTTGAATATGGACTTACCTTGGCTGGCATTACTTCCACTAGAACCACAAACAACACTCCCACCAGACCAATATTGCAAACAAACACATCCAAGGATAACAGCAGCAGAGGCATCCAGCCAACTGAGGAGAGATCGTAGCGCTCTGCAAAATAGGTGAAGGAGCCGAAGGCAGCCAGACAAATGCCACAGCCCAGACTGGAGATCAAGAGCAATATCTTGCGACCAAATCTGTCGCATATCAATGTGGTCGTATAGGTGCCCACGATCTGAATGACTCCGATGATAATGGTGCACATGCCTATGTCCAAGGTGGTATGTGAGAGAGCAAAAACATCCGACATATACGAAGCAAAGCAGAAGGTGCCCGTAAATTCAGTGGCGAATATCAGTACTGTAGCAATGGCATATGCTTTCAAAGCAGGTGGAGCAACTGCAACAAGGGAAGAGAGTTATATATCGAAGGCCAAGTAGAGTATTTACTTCATACCAAAGTCCTTGTAATGCAAGCCCTTCACATTCAATGTCCTCTCCTTGGTCAGTTTCAGTTTAATATCCTCGAACTCCAACATGGAGCTTTTGTCATCCTCCCTGATATTTTTGTAGTATCTGAAAGACTTTTCAGCAGCTCCAAATTTGCCTTTGTTGATCAAGTGGAACGGCGTCTCGGGAAGAAACAGATTGCTTATGAAATAGCAAATGGGAAGGGGTAGGACAAAGAAAGGTGCCAGATAATAGTCAACATTTGTGGATAGGATATAGCCCACTAGAATGCCAATATTAACCGAGAGCAGCAGAATAGAGCCAAGGCGACCTCGGACTCTGTGAGGAAATCATGAAGTATACTAATATAGATGGTAGAGCTTTATGCTCGCTTACTTGGCGTCTGATATTTCGCTAACGAACATGGGTAGAACGACATAGCCAGCGCCACCTGTAATGCCAGCAAAAAAGCGAGCTATATACAAATACTCCACGCTCTGTGCGAAGTAGGATAGCAGCCAGAAGCACTGATAAACAAATGTCAATTAGTGGCCGTCCGCCTGAACCCCAGTTGTCTCCACCTACTCACCATATTCGGCACAGCCAGAGCTAACAAAATAGGCTTCCTGCCGATTCGATCCTGCAGAAAGCCGGCCAGTATATTTCCCGCAAGACTGCCAATACCTATCAGCGAGCCAATCCAAGATACTTCCTCCACAAATACCTCGAAGCTGAGGGGTGAGTCTGGCGTCTGCAAAGCTCGCATCACAGGCGACATCCAACCAATGCCAATGCCATAAACAAAGGGCGATATATTCACTAGATAATGAGGTGCCATAATGGACTTCTTAAGTAATCACTCTGCTGCTCGCTCACCTAGAAATGTGGCTAGAAACTGGTAACGATTTCTGCCATTCAGTAGACTATCCGAGAGCTCAGCCACTGTGCCCGCTGCCATTGTGTTTGATCGCATACCATTGACTGAAGTAAAAGCACCAGATGAAAGACATTCTTCAGTCTAATCTTTATCCAAAATGAAATGAAATGAAAATGAAAATAGATAAGAAATTTTTGATACTTTCAGCAAAAGTTGTGCAGGTTGAGATTAAGTTAAAACTTATTTATTGCAGCTTGCCCAGACACTGCTCATCAGAGCCAGCAGAAATGCTTTAGTAACTCAACGAACTGCCCCAGCTCAATTTGAAACTCAGGGAGTAAACCTCTGCGATGCCCACTCAAACGTAGAGGCACGTGTCGTAATCAACGCCAAAGACTACATTTTATAATGTTGTCTAACTTATTATAATTAAAAAGTAAGCCCTAAAATAAGATAAAAAATCTTCCATTACTTAACTTTGCCTGTTGTCGAGAGATGACTTCATGTGTATCTCCACATGGTGTATACGTCTATGCCTATGTTTAAATTTCTGTATGATATGAGCAGACGGATATACGGATAGGCGAACAAACAGGCGCACAGCAAGACTAGCATCGTAGGTGTGCCAGGTGTTCTATACCCTTTTGTTGAAATAGGGTTTTTAAGATAATGTAATTTATTATTGGGTTACTAACTAAATTTAAGCTTCTCATCAGCTAGTAAAACTACCAGCTAGTAACTACACAGCCTAAAACACTGCCCACACAAGCAAGAAAATCGACGAAGTGTTCGAAGTCTCTCTCTCTCTCTCCATAAATCCGCTGGACCTTCCACATCGTCATAGCGGAATCCCCCAAATTGTTATACCCCCTAAGCCCTCACTTTAATCCCCTAATCCTCCCCCTTTAATCATACAAAAAATTCAATATAAATGTAAATGAAATGTAAATTGAATTTGATGATTTTTTAGAAAACAGAACAGAAGCAAATATAAATAATAAAAACAACAAAAAACTATATAACTATATATATATTTATATATATATATATATATATATCTGTAGTTATTATTTGATTTAACATCATACTTATCATCCTGAAGTGATAATCCCCTAAAAGTAGACTTTAAAATTAATATTTATGTTAAGCTAATGTTCTTGGCTCATTCTATGAATCATTCTCTTTCACTTTATTTCCATTTAAATCTTTAACTACTTATATCTCTGTCTCTATTTCTCCCACTTTCTATTCCCCTGTTTGTTTCTCTTTATCGCTGCTCTCTCTTTTTCTATATTTATCCCTTTCTCTGTTAATTTGTTTGTCGCCCTCTTTCGTTTCCCATTTCTATAGATTATTCTCTATGCCTCTTATTTTTTCCCATCACTGTCTTTCTCTCTCGCTCTTTCTCACAATACCAGACAGATAATCAAAATCGTTAATCTCTTCTGAGCACCTGCACAGAATAAATGAAGCTGTCTTCAGGTTATAAAAATAGTTTCTCTAGCAAGAACTTTTTAATCTAATCAAAGAGGGCATTTGTAAGTCGCAGACAGGCGCGAACACAGAAGTTAAGTTCAAGGGGAAGCTGTTGGCCAACGGGCAGACAGTTAGCCAGATTGTTGCGCTTGACTAATTTTATGACAAAGACGCCACTTGTCTGGCATTTATATAATGTATACTCGTTTAAGTGCACTTGATCGTGTAAGATGCCTATAATATTTAATGTTGTAAGACGAGTAGAAATAGAAAACAATTAATAATTAACTAAAATGAATTAACTACAAACTAGCCAAAATAGTTTCAATTGTCTTGCCCCTCGTCTCTGGCAAAAATATGGCAATGAACAAGGTCCCGGCGAGGGTGCAGCAGGCGAAGAAGAGCACAGTCCCGTGCATGCCCCATGCAGCGGTCAGCAGTGGAATGAGCTATAGGAATGAAAGAATCCTTAATATCGCTGAAGATCGAGCCAAGCACCGGGGACCTACCTTGATGGTCAGCATGGAGAGTAGCCAAAGCACGGACATAAGCACCATGATGGCCGTGCTGCGTATCTTGGGCGGCAGTATCTCAGAGATGACGAGGAAAGGCAGCGTCAACAGACCCCACGAGGCGATGAACAGCATGAAAGAGAACGCAGCAATGGGCACCCAATCGAAGCTGGACGTATCATATTGGAGCACCTTCATGTAACTGTGGCTAGCCATGATCAGCTGGCTGAGGCAAATGCCAACCGCGGAAACGAGCAGCAGAAGCTTGCGACCTGCGCGCTCCACTAGCAGAGTGGACACATACGAGCCAACCAGCTGAATGACGCCCACAATAATGGCGGAGACTGTGGGCGGCAGACTGGAGCCGGACTCTTCGAAGATCATTGCCGTATAGTTGAGCATAGCAAAGCAGCCACAGCCTTGATTAGCCATCAACAAGCCCAGCCCAATGAGTAAGGCCTTTCGCGTCTTTCGATCGGCTGAAAATTGTAAAAAAATTATTAGGTTCGTTTGGCTTAGTTACAGGCGAGGAAGCTTAATAATTGAGAGAGATAATCAGGTTATGAACTGAAGAAAACGCTAATCATCGCAGCTCAACAACAAAAGAAAAGTCTAAGGATTGGACGAGAAACTACGTCTGAATTGGAGCTAAACTCTTTAAAGACAGCTTAGGGTTAAATCAATGCTAAGGCTAGAAGCTCAACGCCAAAACCACTCCTAATTTGAAACTTACCAATTGAAAAGAAGTTTTATACAAGAACTCAACAACTGCAGGTGGAATAGGAACAAGTTTTAACTACTAACTGAAATGCTCAGACTAGCTTGCAGTTTATCCATTGAAATGCCAAGTGAAATTAAAATTTAACTAAGAGCTTAACGACTGAATTGCCATCATTTCATCTGACTTGAGGCTAAGCAATTATAGAACTAACTTTGGACTAAACTAAGTTTGCTCGCAGCTCAGTGTTTAAGTGTTAAGGAAACCTTACCAAAGTCCGCCCACGTTACGGCAGTGTCATCGATGTCTGCGTCGTCTGGCTTTTCGGGAGCGCGTAACTTGTGCAGCTCCAGCTGCAGCTGCTCGCTCAGCTCTTTGGAAGGACGAGCGCGTATATTGCGATAATAGCGCAGGGCGTCCTCTGCCTCTGACAGCTTATGTCGCTGTGCCAAGTGCTGCGGAGTCTCGGGCATAAACCAGAAGCACACCACAAACACTATGGACAGGGTAGAGACGACCCAGGCGACAGTCGCATAGTTGAAGAAGTAACCCAGTATGAAGGCAAACAGAACGCCCAAGTTGCAGGTGAGCACCAGTAGTGTGCCCAGGACGCCTCTCACGCTAAAAGCCGATAAATTGGTTAATGAAAACAACAATCTAAGCCTTGACTGATACCCACGTGTCCTCTGCCAGCTCCGCCGTGTAGACGGGTATCACACCGAAGCAGCCGCCACCTGCCACTCCACCCAAAAAACGAGCGGCTATCAAATGCGTGGGATTTCGTGCATATGGTATCCCAATCCAGCCCAGCTGAAACAAAAATAATTTGGCGAAGCCGTAAATTGTAGTTTACACTTTGCTTACCAGCGAAGGCAATGCCACCCACAGCATCGAGTTCTTGCGACCGATTTTGTCCGCCAACCAGAGAAAGAATACATTCCCAACTAGACCGCCGAGGCAGAGAACCGATGCCACATTGCCCTGATCCTGCTTGCTCAGCGGACCCGTCTCCAAGGGACTGGCGCTACTGCTGAGCTCCAGGAAACTGGCCGAAGGCCAGCCGCAATAAGCGCCGAAGGAAATGGAAACAATATTTACTAAAATGAGGAAAGCAGCAAAAAATTCCAAAAAGCTGAATAGAAAACAAGTAAGAAAACCTAGTCGGGGTGCCCGATTAGGAGATACCCTGATCCCAGTCCTATCTGCGTTTTTTAATTAATAAAAATAAACAAATTAAAATCGGCAGTACGACAGCAGGATTAGAACCTACGCAACGCCAAAACATAAAAAGTTATCTAAGATCTTGCTTGATCTATATATGCTTAGAAAAATAATAAAACAGATAAATTTTAAGAAAAATATTTTTATTATTTAATATTTTATGAATTATACATAGAGCATATTGCAAAGATAATTTCATTCCTGACAGGTAACCCCTTTGAAAGCCTAACTAAGTTGTGTCAACAAGCAAGACTTTAATAACTTTGTAATTCCTCTACTTGATAGCTGTTGTAGATATGTACAGATATTTTTATATATGACTACTGAATTTTTATGAAGTTTTAAATATGCAGATAAATGACGCATGGAAATATTATAATTGTTATTCATAACATTATTATTTAACCATTTATTATGTATCAAATATATATATATATATATATGTATATATATTTTTTTTTTCTTATGTACGTATATACATATTTGTTTCTATAGGCTAATAATGCCTAAGAGATAAGTCCAACTGCTGCTTCCATGAAATTCTTTAAATTTACATTTGAAATTCCTTGTTTTTGCCTCATTTTTATAAACATAATACGAATGATTGATTCATTCATTTGATTGGGTAGCAAAAAATATTATTTTTGCGCATTTTGTGCCCTTTAATTGTGTTAATCCGATTATATTTGTATGTTTCAATAAAGTAAAGCCTTTTTAATAATCTCTGTTTTTTTTTCACGTATTTTATTTGAATTTATTCTAGGTATTAAGAGTTGCTGAATCAGTTCAGATGCACTCACACATATAAGAACTTAATCAATTATTTCCATTTCATGTTTTAGCTTTAATAAAAGATTGGTTTTATTTTGGCTAAAGCAATCATTTACATACCAAATATTGCAGCCAGATATTGGAACTTCACACTGCCTTTTGAGTCCATGTTGCACTTTTTTTACCCAATTATCACAGGTTTAATTTCATTATCCTTTTAGCAGGTGTGTTGAGTGTTTGGCTTCTGTTGCCTGGGGAAGTGCTCGTGGCGAACTAACCGGTCGCAGTTACTGCCTGATTACTTTTATATATGTCATTAAAATCACACACATAACGCCTAGAGATTGTGAAGCCAACCGGAGATACAGAGCTACAGCACGCGTACATATGGGAAAACAAACTGAACGGATTGTTGTTATCACTTAACTGTTATGCTCCCAGCTCTCAACTCTCAGCTGAAACTGAAACTGTGAACATCAACAACAACTAGAGATATTCTATTTGCATCCAGTTCAGACTGTCGATACGCTTTGTTTCGTCGACTACTGTCATTATAATTGAATTCATTTTGTACCCTACTTATCAGAGACAGAGAAATGTGAGTGGATTATAGGAACTAGGTGGGTCCAAGGGCTAAATTGATGGAAATTTTATTTCATTTTTTTATTACATTTTAAGTTTTATATCTGGAGAATATAATAAATACTAATAATCCAACTTTATTTCATTCAGTTCAATTGACAATTTTAAAAAATATAATCATAAGTTAAGGAAATGAAAAATGAAAAAAAATCTATAATTTTTAAGTTTTAGTAAGAAATTTAAATATAAATGATAGATAAAAGACATATATGGATTCATGCATAAACACAGTTGGCATAAAGCAGCTAGAGAATTGAAATTTCGTTTTATCAAACATAACTGCGCTTTATTCATATTTGTTTTCCCCTTCAAATTATATATTTACTATTTCTGCTGTTGTGATATGTGTTTTAAATAGCAAATGAGGAACACAGAGGAACGTCATTGTCATAGAACTCTAGTCTGAATTAGTTGCCGAGCAGTTGCTGCTGTGCTTTAATCACGTTTTCATGGCGCTCTCTCATATCAGTAGCCCAAAGATTAAGCGCTCTGTATGTGTGCTACGAATATTCTAAATTTTAATCAGAGGGGAGCAAACAAGAGATGAAGAGCACTTCTATCTATTGTGGAAAGAGGAAAGAGAAAGTATTACTTTTCATTGCGAAATTTCTTTATAAATATACCAAAAATGTTTGCTTGTCTATATAATAGCAAATGATTTATAACAAAAACCATGATTTACACAATGATTAGGTCATTTGCTGACCCATTTGGGACCCAGCACCTTGAGGATGGTGCTCTAGCTAGGCATTTTCATCTGTGTTGCTTCCCACAATACCTTTTCGACGATGTCCTAGACTCTTTTCTAGGCATCTTTGTCCTTCAAGTCTGCCAAGTCAGTTCTTTTCTCTATCCGCCCGCGGCAGCAGAAGAAAAAACAGCTGCCTTTGGAAATTTTCCCATCTTTTTTTATTCCATGGCTATGATAATGATTGCGATAGTTGTTTTTTTTTTTTGTTATGATTTGTTTTCCCTTTTGCTGGTTTTGAATACCTACTAATGTCACTTCAACTATTACCAGAATATTCTATGCAATAAAGAAATTTGACGCTAGATTAGATAAGTTGAGATCGTGCGCATACGGTACTGTGAATTTCATCAGGGCTGGCGCCACCTCGAATCAGTTTTCATGTTGATACATACATACAACACATTAATGAGCTTAATCAAATTAAAAGAAAAACAAGCGCCATTCGTATTTAACTTGTGCTTTACTTATATTTAGCTTAATTGTAATTTTATTGTTCAGATGCTCGATGAAATGTGTCCATTGATGGCGCTTGCCACCTTGGCTACGCCCTCTTGGCCCACATAGCCCAGTTCCCTTTGCACGGATGACGGACGGCGGTTGCGTGTCTCCGGCAATAGAGGCAACGAAATGAGGCCCACGAATATGGAGGCGGCTGCAAACACCCAGAGATAGAGCACCAGACCAGGTCCAATCGGCGACTTAACCGCATTGAAAGCCTTTAGAAAACACTCTTTGATTCCAGGAATTATTATATGCTTCACTTCACTCACCTCAATCATGCCAAAGAGCAGCAACCAGGCAACGCCCGATGCCAGTGAATAGAGCAAGTCATGCAGCTATGAAAAGCCATTTGGAATAATAAATTATTAAAAAGCTATTAAAGGTTGCCAACAGTAAGACGTGAGCATAAGTTCTTAAGTACATAAGTTTCGACGTATGAAAAGTCTTACTTTTGCGTATTTGTAGCAAATAGCTTAAAGTATGTTAAGCTGATGGGCGAGTAAATAAGTCTGCCACATACCCTACCACGTCAATTTGAGTTATTAAACATAGATTTACATAATTCTTAATTAAATTTAGTTGAAGTTAATTAATTTAATTATGCATATTATAAAAATAATCTATATAAATATAGCATATTTTAGGGAAGTTGATTAATGAAGTGTAATTTTTATTAGTTAGTTATGGAATTTAAGTTCAATTTGTATTAATTAAAATGTAATTCAATTAATACAAATTGAATTTAAAAAACCATTATAAATTTTAAAAAATTAAGTTAAATTAATATAATTACTTTATATATTATTTTTAATTAAATTACAATTTTAATATATATTTTATATTCATATATTTTTGTAATTTAACTGAATTAAATTAATTAATTAATTCAATTAAGTTTTTTTTTTTCGATTCAATTAAACTCGAAAGAGACCTTAAGCTGCTACAAGCAGATACTTGAAAAGATTGCAATGACACCGAAGCCTACTCGCAAGATATCTAATCCCTGCCATACCCCCAAGACGACTTAAACGTCAAGGCTTTGCCAACACGATGGGAATGCAGTAAACTATCGACTTTTAATTCCTCATGTGACTGAGGTTTGGCCCTAATTCCTAGTTCCTAACTAAATTTGATTGTATAGGTTGTACACTTCATTTAAAAAAAATAAATAAAAAAATAAAAAAAACGTCAAACTGAAATCAAAATTTGTAAATTTAATAACTTATTTAATTTAATTTCATTATACAAATAAATGCAATACATTTAACTCAATTGAATTTGCATAATTTTTGATATTATTAGATGCAATTAAATGAAATTTAAGAAGTTTAAATAAAATGTAATTTAACTCCGTTAAATTTTATAAAGTAATAGTTTCGCTGCCATGAAAAGTATGCTACGCATTTTTCATATTATTCAATTAAAAATTTCCAGCCATTTGAAAGTGAACCTCAGCGAACAATGTGAAAACATTCCAGAGGCATAAAAAGCGGGTTAATTAAAAACTGAGTTGCACAGCAATGCATCAATTCACAGCATTGGCTTTTGACTGATACGAAATGCGTCGCAATTTGGAATTTTATAAAATATAGTTCTGACTGTTGGCTATAACAGACTATCTAATACTCTCTGGGGAATATAAAACAATCAACCAGTTAATCTGTTAATCATTCTGACAATCAATCAGTTGGTAAAGCAATGCTTCAATCAAAAGTCATTCAATCAGTGAGCTAGCTTGCCAAAGTCTAGTCTATGAGTCTAATATCTGTAGTCTATCGATCATTAAATCAACAAGATAATTTTCAAGCAGTCAATCAGTGAATCAACCAGTTATCAATCAGTTAATAAATCAGTCAAAGAAACTATATTTTAGCCAATCAACTAGCTAGTAAATCAATCAGAATAATTAACCTCATATATACAAGTTTATAATCCTGTAAAAATAAAGCAAATACATCAATCTTATCAATATTATTTCTTACCTTTGTGGGCAGCACTTCGCTGCTGACGACAGCGGCCAGAGGATAGAGCCCAAAGCTGACAAAGAATAGCTGAGTAGCAAGCAAGATTATGGGCAAATAACGTTCACACCAAATGCCCAGAGCCCAGCTCTCATGGAATTGCTTGAAAAAGGCCAAAGCGATGACTGGAAGAGCAGCAAGCAGCGAGGAGAGACACAGCAGTACCTGATAGAAACCAGCAGATGAATTCAAACTGAAACGCTAAAGGACAGCAAATGGTTTTACCTTGCGAGGCATTTTAGGGCCGACGAGTCGAGCAAAGCAGGCACCCACACACTGCGATATGGAGAGCACAACATAGTTCATCTCAATCGTATAGCCAGTGCGACCAAGAAAGTCGGCGGCATAGTTCAGCTCCACGAAGACGCCGCTCAACTTGGCACAGATTGTTAGTAGGAAACTAACACCGATCAGACGGATGATATAGCTGCGCGAGTAGTGCTCTGAGCCAATGCCCTTGCCCTCTCCTTTCATCTCTGCCTTAAATTCGGCTAGTTCCTGTAGGTATTCGGGTTTCTCGCGATCATCTATGTCTCGTATGCCTCGATACCAGCGAAGGGACTTCTCTAAAGCCTGTAGATTACCTTTACGCATGTAGTAATGCGGACTCTCCTGCACGAACGGAAAGCACAGAGAGAACACACAGGATAACAGGCAGCCGACAACATTGACATAATCATAGGGTAAATAGAAACCGAGCACAAAGCCAAGAAGGATGCCCAAAGTACGCCATAGTTCCATTGTAAATGTCAAACGAGCAGCCTTCTCTCGAGTGTCCGCTATTTCATTGATGAAAATGGGTAGCACTACGAGTGCAGCACCAGCTGCCACGCCTCCAAACATACGCGAGGCATAGATGTGCACGATATCGAAACCAAAGTGTATGGTGAACCAGCTGAACTAGAATGGGAGAGATGCGAATCATTTTTGGTTTTGACGAAAGAGTTTGATTAAAAGGAAAGAGCAACATTTCTAATGTAGATAGAGCTTCGATCAGTTATCAGTAATGAATCGCCTCTGTCACAGTCCTGATTCAGTCGCTTACTATATCTCAGTTCCACAGTTCAAGAACGATACCTACTACTCTATGGCTTTCATATTCGACAGCTTAACCGATCAAGTCAATTCTTTGCGTATATGAAAACTTAATTAAGATTAAGTGCAAGTGAATGTTGGGACTTACTATTTGGAGCAGTCCGCTGCAGAGTAGTACAGACTTGGGGCCAATGCGAAGAGCCAGACAGCCGGACACGGCAGCTCCAACTGCAGCGCTTAGAAAGAGATAACCAGTTAACAGAGCAGTTCCTGTTGGATCTGTGACTGTGTTAAGGGGTGTTCGTTGATCCGATTCATATAGACTCATGTGAGCGGGTGTAATACCAAAGAGAATGCCAAAGTTGAAGCAAAGCAAATTACCTAAGAAATTAAAAATTAATAAAAAATTCAATTGGATATTTCAAGCTTATTCATATATATTAATATATAAATAAGATTTACCCACCCACGGCTGTGGCCACGCTTTGGATGGCGCTTCCGCTGACTCGCTTGGGCAGGCACATGATGAAGTCCTCTCGTATTCAAATTCCTTCAAAGTTGTTATAGATGGAGCTGCATGTAAACTGAGAAGGTTTTATTGACTGTGCTGCCCCTTTTATGGTAGATTTATCTGTCGCGCAGTTGTTATCTTGAATGCGATAAGCGACTGCAAGGCAGTCTACTGCTGTGCGCAACATTTTGCTGTGGACCGTTACTAGAGACCCAGTCGTCGGGGCCAGCTTCTTAGATGTGGCAGATTTGTATATACTTTTAAATATATTTGCACAACGTGAGTCCACAAATGATGCCGCGACAAAATGCCTGTGTCTGCCCGTTTTGGCTACTGTTGGAGAAATCTGTTTTTAACCTACAGTAGATAACCTTACCCAAGTCAAAATACGTCTACGTTAGGGTTATTCAGGCACTGACGCGCAACTTAATTAAGTGCTGTACGCAAACTTATTCTTGACAAATGGAACAGCAATTAATTTTAATTAAAATCAATTGTAGACAAAGTACAGAAATATTTCTTTAATTGCCGATGACATATATCACATATATTACTATATCATGCTATAATATTTATTTTTATTTGGAGCAATATCAAAGTAACACATAGTCAGGCTTAAAGTAAATTTCAATTTAGAATATTTGAGTATAATTAAATTAGCGCCATTTAAATGATCGTTGCTTATCGAATGGCTGAGCACGACAGAAGCTGTTTGATACGACAGTCAGCTGTTAGGCACAGTCTATTAGCATAGTCTATCAAAAAACTATCGACCAACCGCCACTACAGCCTTTAGATCAGTCAAATTGCCGGGCAATTTTTAAGTGCGCTTCTTAAATTATAATCATAAGTAATATGACAAATGAGCTGTGGCCGAACGCCTATGCAGCTAATGAAGCTATTCGGCAAGACAAGGATGTTAGTGCTGGTGACTATCAGAATGCTTGGCGTAAACAAAAATTGCTTTTGGCTCATGCTACAAGGTAAGTGGAGATGAGACAAGTTACAATTTTGAGTTAAACAAAATCTTCTACTGATAAAGCAAGTCAAGTGAAGCTACCCGTTATGAAGTGCTTAAGGAGCATCAAGAAACATTTTCAAATGCCAGTAGTACGGAAATCTTTATAAATAATTGCTTAACTGGATGTCAGAAACTGTTGGCGGTGAGTCGACGTCAAAGACCTGCTGCTGGACTGCAATTAGAATGGCTGGAATGCTGTGAGGCGCCTGGCCGTTCATTCGATCATCCGTGTCATGGAAAATATGAGAGCTGCATGCGTGATGAAATAACTATTGACTTGCAAAGACCCCACCAATTAACAGTGACACCAGCAGCAAAACCATTATTGAGCACAAAAGTAACGCCTTCTATGACCACAGGAGCAACACCTTCCACAGCACCAGTCTCAGCTGGTGTCTTTCGCACAGCACGAGAACAGTTGTTGTTGCATGATATGCAGGTAAATAGTATAAACAAAACTGACGCCGATGATTGATGCCTCTCCTCTCTGTTCCAAGTGTCTTAGCGAACAGCATTTGTCGTCTTTCAATATATCTTACAATTAGATTAAGCATATAGATAACAATGAATCGCTCAATCAGCAATATTTTATGTGAAATTCAAATTTTGTTTGACTACAGCCTCTGTGAAAGAAAAAAGTATATGTACACATAGCATGTGCACAGTGTACAAATATTTTTGTTTTAATTACAGAATTGCATTGATTTTGTAGCCAGTAGTAGTTTTTTTTTTAGTAATATGCATATATACTCATGTATACATTTACTATTGCAGAAAAGCAAGCAAAACGTTGGTTCAGCTCACAGCAATATGATGGACTACAGAAAAAAGTCACTTGGCGGACGTGGACGCAGTGTAAATTCAAGTTTTGTGCAACCCGTTGGCCAAAGTGAGCCGTAAGTCTTAGCCTGCAGTCACTTTTAACTCGTCTACCGTATTTGACTCATATTTTTGTATGCTTTAGGGATGCTTCGGCTGTGCCAACCAAGCAATCTGTGTCGGTAACGCCTGCTGTACCTGCTCTACCTGTTCGGCCCTCCTTATCACACTTGGATCCGCTCATGGTTGATCAAATACTGCGAGAGAGCATGCACAAATACAAACCCATAGCCTGGGAGGATATAGCTGGTTTGGACTATGCAAAGTCAACATTCATGGAGACCATCATACATCCATTACAGCGACCAGATTTGTTTAAGGGCGTGCGTCGGCCGCCCCGGGGGGTTTTGCTATTTGGTCCACCCGGGACGGGCAAAACTTTAATAGCCAAGTGTATTGCGTCGCAGTCGAAAGCAACTTTCTTTAGTATAAACCCCTCTACTTTGACTTCAAAGTGGGTGGGAGAAGGCGAGAAGCTTGTCAAGACTCTGTTTGCGGTGGCTGCTGCACATCAACCAGCTGTAAGTGTATTTTAAATAGTGCGTTGAATAGTAACTTATATTTGTACTTCATTTAAGATCATATTTATGGATGAAGTCGATTCGTTGCTGTCGCAACGGTCGGATAACGAACACGAAAGCTCCAGACGTATGAAAAACGAGTTTTTTATTCAATTGGATGGAGCGTCAACCAACGAGGACGACCACATTGTCATCATTGGTGCTACCAATCGGCCTCAAGAACTAGACGAGGCTGTGCGTCGTCGATTTGTGCGTCGCATCTATGTTTCACTCCCAGTGGCTCAGGCACGTCAGCAGATAATTCATAAACTTGTACAGCAAATACACCACAATCTCAGTGACGCACAAATGCAAGGTCTAGCTGAGTTAACCGAAGGATATTCAGGCGCTGATATGGACAGTCTTTGCCGTTATGCAGCCATGCAGCCGCTGAGAGCCTTAACCAGCTCTCAGATTGACGCAATCGACGCACAGCAGGTAAGCAAAATGTCCCTTAAGTAGTTTCTTGTTACACCCCGCAACCATAGAAAATGAGAATGGAAGGTATAATAATTTCCTTAAAATGGGCAAAAGGGAGCATATATTGTCCTGTGTCCCTCTATGTTCCTTCATCATTACCAGTAACTATAAATGCTGGAGCATTAAAATATAAAAAATATAGTCATATGCAGTAGGGTTGTCAGTATTCAATATCTCATATCAATGCCCAATGAAAATCCATATTGCGGACCAAACCCATAATCCTCCAAAATTTGGGTAGACTTGTAACCAGAAAATAGAATAAGCAAAGACTAATGCAAACAAGAAAGGTAGAATCTTTAAAACATCAGATATACGTGGGGTATAGGGTATTTGCTAGTTGTGCAATCCAATCCAATCCCAATCACTTTCGTCTGGTTATCTGTGTAAAAAATGTTGTATTTATTCTTATTTGTGCAGTTGTCCGCAGTTACGATGGCCGACTTTATGGAAGCGTTGCAGCATGTTTCAAGGAGCATCTCAACGGAGGATGTGAAGCGTTACGTGGCTTGGAATCAAACTTATGGGACTAAAAGTTAAATGAAACCCACATGAATTTAGTGTTTTAAAGATGCTTTTATTTGCAGTTGGACATCCTCTACAGTTTACTTGTACTTTCGATTGCCTATCCTCAAGCTTACAGACTTATCACATGTATTGATGTCGCACATATACAGTAAAATGTGGAATGGTACACACATAACTAAAATCTACTTAAAAACAGGGTATACATATTCATATTGTTAATTAGCTCACAGCACATCAAAATTTGACTTCGTATACATCAGAGTTGAAAAACATTTAGACTTCGACTAGGTTCAAATGGGCTTATTCTGTTTTTGTTTTGATCAAGCTGCCACAGACGAATGCTTTAGAACAGCATAGCAAAAAGGACATTAAAAATAACATTTAGATATAGCTTAATTAACAATCGTACTAAATAAAATTGCATTTCTAGTAATTTACTCCCTAATCGGTGGAAAGACGTAATCGTCGCTCAGACTGTTAATATCCACGTAGGTGGTCTTCGGGCTTAATACCTTATAGAGGGCATCGAAAGTGGGCCGCTCCTCTGGCTCTTCCAGCCAGCACTGCAACATTATCGTGTACACCTGTGGCGTGCATATCTCTGGACGTTCCAGCCGATTGCCAGCCAGCAGAAAGGGTATCAGCTCGCTGTTGCTGATCGTGGGATACGGCGAGGCACCCAATGTGCCAATCTCCCAGAGGACGACGCCATATGCCCAAATGTCGCTCTTGCTAGAGTATACATTGTCTCTGATGGCCTCAATGGACAGCCAGCGCAAAGGTAACTGTCAGACAATATAAACATTTCAATTAACAATTAATTGACTTTTGGAACCTTTGGCTTTTCCTTGCCACTCACTTTTCGTGTTTTGGTATTCGTATAGATGCCATGTCTTGATAGACCAAAATCCGATATTTTTAATGTCTTGTTGTTGTCGATAAGCACATTGCGCGCTGCCAAGTCGCTGTTGATTAAAATGTATAGAAATGGGAATGGATTTATGAATTACAATTTTGAACACTGGAAAATGTGTTAAGCCGAAGATATTTACTAGATTAAACAATATTTAATATTTATTTACACAAAAATGTCTTTCGTGTCTTTTATATAAATACTTAGGAGTTAATTTGTAAATGATTTTTTTTTTTTTCAGAACAAGCAAGTCTGCTCTAGTATGCTCTATATACCCTGAACCCTGGAGCTGTTATTCAGACTATCTCCTAGTCGGAGACTCGCGACTAAAAGTCAACTCAAAACTTTGCTTCTGCTTAGCATATTTTATGTATAATTTATTCTTATGTGTGCCAAGCTGCAGACTTGGGCTCATTGTTTTTGACGTGTTCATATCCCTTATGCGATTTCAAAAAGCTTGAAGTTCTTTTTTTGTTTATCTCCTTTCAATATTTTGCCATGCAGTGAGTCTTCGTAACCGAATTTGATTTTCGTCTTATGCTGCAAGCACACAAAACTTGATTGGAAAACAAAAAAGTTTTCTCTGCGTATCCCATGCGTTATTTATGAGAGTAAAATGAAGCAAGACAAATATTTATTAAATGTCTTGCCTTCCCAAGCATAAACTTAATTGAATAAGTTTTTTTTTTAATAATGCAATAGAATTCGGTTCGCTCGTCTGGGTTAACATTTAATTACATTCTTTATGTTAGTTCTTATTCCTGGATGAATTTAAACTTGGAAGATGTTTATGTATACAATGAACTTACCGATGCGTTATCTCTTGTTGTTCCAGGAATCGCATGCCATTTGCAATCTGCAGCGCAAAATTGTGCAGCTCATTGTTGTCGAGTATGTACTCGAAAGCATCCTCCTCCTCCACAATGGTGTAGGTGGCTTAAAATATGTATAAAAGAACAGGTTGGGGTAAACGAAAAGCACAAGCAAGAAGAATGCTTTATTCAAAAATAGAAAGTTTTGGAGAAGTACTTTGCAGCTAAACACATATAAAAGTTTATATTTACAATTATTTAAATGAATTTAATATTTCATTAATATAGAATGTACAATTCTGATTTCAATCAGTTTTGTAAATATATTAATTTTTTTTATCTTGAGTGTCGCGCAGTCAGTTGAATTAATTTTGAAACTTACTTTCAGCAAAGGATGGCTTCTGTTGTCTGTGTGCAACCCCGTTTGATGTTGCATGCTGTGAGTTGGCGTAAGGAGAGGAGGAGCTGGAGGGGGACTCAAAGTCGGTGCATTGATTGCTTGCTTTGAGTTCAATGTAATTAACACTCTGAGGCTGTGGCAGTGGGGCACCTGCTGAGTTGACTTTTGTCTGCCTGCCAGTCGAGTGATTTGCATTTCGTGTCCTTGGCTGGCCCAGTTCCTGGCGAGCCATACGCAGATAGTTCAGCTTAAGCAGATATAGGAGTTCGATTGAGGCTGAACAAAGGAATTTGAGCTATAATTCTTTGCTTACCAGATTGCCACGTCCCACATACTCCATGATCATGAGATAGGGCGCCCGTATGGTGCAACAGCCCAGGAAGCAAACCACATTGTGATGCGTGCCGACGCCCTTAAGCATATCAATTTCAGATAGAAATTCGGCTGCTTCGTCTGCCGATGGATTGGCTAAATGCCCAAGTGCAATTTTAATTAATTCCACTTCCATTGTACATTAAATTTATTAGCATACCCTTTAACTGTTTGACTGCAACGAGTGTGGTGCCTCGCATGCGCCGCAAATTGATAGCTGTTGCCTCGTGTACGCGCCCAAAAGCTCCTTCGCCCAGAACTCGACCAATTTGAATGGCTGAATGTGGCACCTCGAATATGTCCGCCAGGCCCAAAGCCTGTGATTGCTGTGGAAGTGAATGACGAAGAAAATGTTAAGGAACATATATTTGGTGACCGTTAGAGCCAAAACTATGTCTTCGCTCCAAGCCAAATATTGATTGAAATTTATTTATTCTAATTTATTGAAATTCCATTCCATTTAAATATATTTAAACCTAAGCTAAAGCTTTCTTGTTGAGAATAATGTTGACTTTGTTATACTCGTTCACGTGGTGCAAAGAGTATATTCATTTTGTTCATGTTGTCTCGAGACTGGTAGTTTGAATTTTAAATTATTTAGTTTGAAATTATATATCTATGCTTTTTGTAGCTAGAGCTGCAGAATTTGAAACTTAAGTTAAGTATGTTTTTGAACTGCGAACGAGTATTATGCAGTCGGTCGCACACGACTGAAGTAGTCCAAAGTCTCGTTTTGTCCGGAAATATGATATCAACTTGATATATTTTTATATATTGAATCTCATTTCATTTCATTTCGTTTACAGCTTTAGTAACTCGACAATTTGATGGAATTTATGGCAGTTAAAGTAATAAATAAAGAAGTAAAGTTATTTAATTGTTTACCTCAATGTATTTGTCCACGTAGTTGATGTTGTCCTCCATGCTGGCATATGCGATGAAAAGTAAATGTATAAATGAATAATATAATTGGCGGTTAACTCACTTGACAGTAGCTGCTGCAAAGGACTGCATGTAAATCTGATTCTTATGCAGCTCATCCTTAGCCCGAGCTCGACGACGACGCAGGAGAAGTGTCAAGAAGCCCGCGCATACGACAGCAATTAGTAATGGAGTTATAATAATGAGCCAATTACTCTAGAAACCAGAAGGCATAAGCATAATGAGTCATGAGTAAGTTACGATTCGCTTTGAGCAGTTTCATCTCTCTCACCAGATTGACATCGCGTTGGAGTGGATTGGCTGGCACTGTTTGGAATGGTAATTAGTTCTGAGACTCGACCAAAGGAGAGGCTCTTGCTTACCTGGAAATTTGGTTACGCTGCGTGGCCCCTCACAGCCAGCGGGATCTATCATCATGGCCTGTAAATTAAGGGAAGTCTTCTCTTTCAGCTGCGTGCCCAGGTTGAGCTTCATGTTGCCATCGAAGCCCTTCGCTGTGGGCCGAAAATTTAATTCGCTCAGGTTGTAAATCCGATTAAACAGATTCTTTAGAACGCCGCCCCACAGCAGTGATGGATTAGTCTCCTCATTGATTCTGCGAAAAATTTGTATAGATTCATAGCAAAATTGTCCGCAAATGACTAAAACGCGAGAAGCTCGCGGGAATAATAAAATACGTAATGTTTGGAATTCACATCTAGCTGTGGCATCCACTTCCGATATATTCTTGTTTCGTTCAGAGAAAATGATTGGCTTGAATAATACTAGGAAAAGGAAACTCAAATGCATAATCAGTTCAGTTCATCGTGATGAGCTGTGTTTGCAGGGAATCCAAAATATATGTATTCGTCACTGGGAGTTTAAAATCCCTTTTTACGGAAAATGGAAAATTTCAAGTCTCTAGTCTGCGTGGCTTAGGGATCGCTGAGTTTATGGGGACAGAAAGGTGAAAGGACTGACAAGATCGACTTAGCACGTCGTCCTGATCCAATGGTAACTCACTTAAGTTGCATTTTGTATGACTGCAGTGCCTCGTGCAGATGGTTCTCCTGCTCCTTGCGCAGCTGCTCGCTGGCCTGTATAACGAAAATGATGCCGATGGTGTCATTGGCCTCCATCTTGGCCGCGGTGTGCACTTTAGGTGGCATGGGTGACAGCTGACAGGAGCACTTACCAGCCACGCAGTCTGCGAATGTTAGCTGAGTGGATTAATAACTCATTGAGAGACAGGAAAGAGGGATTCCACACGTACGTGGTATGAAAACGCGCATGGAGCGACGCACGAGTAAGTTTGATGTCTCCACAGTCACATTGTACTGGCAGCCAAACATGTAGTTGCAATCGGGGGACTCCACATTCGGATTGGGACTCTGTGGCAGATAGATGTACTTGCTGGGCTTCTGCTTGATGGTATATTCGCTGCAGGGTGCATCCGGGCAGCGGGTGCTGTTCACAGCACTCACCAGCACATTGTATGTGGTGCCTGAAATGTCAGTGTGAAGGGACTGAGATCGAAATCCCATTATTATTCCATAACTACTTACCGTTCGGCAGGGTGTCCTGCCAGCGCACCTGCAGGCGCGGAATCTTCTGCTTAAATAGCGTCACATTTACGGACAGCTCCGTGATTTCGCCCTTTCCTGGACTTAGCTGCGCCAAGCAATCAATAAATTAAATCATATAAAGGCGAGTTGAAAACTTGAAGTCGACTGCCATCGTGCAATAACTTAATAAAAATACGTTTCGGTCGTTAAATGTTTACAGATTGCAAAAGCTGAGATATATATTAAGTTTTCAGTTAATGCACCTTATTGCTATTTGAATTGAAACAGGTTTCACTGGAAGCGCGGCCTTTGTTTTTGAAGCAACTCAGTCAAATACAGCTACTTTTTTCCATTTATTGGAAATCCGACTTGCATACAGCCTTCAGGACCTTTTATAACAAAAGCCGCATCGAATTTATTTTCGAGAAAAAGTATGATAATATCAGTACAAGGGACTTATATCTTTTTTATATGTGCATTTACATATGTACGTATGTATATAGTCTTACATACTAATGATTAAAGTCGAGTCACATTCGTTAGTCGCTTCGTTATTGAATTAAACTCGTATTTTTCAGAAATCTGTGTTATTGCATATGATAAGCTTCTTTTGAGCAGCAGAATAATTGCATTAACTGAAAATTGTAAAATACCGAATTGTGATTTAAGCGAATATCTGCATGCCATATATTAGTTAAACTTTAGTATTGCATGTTTATTTTGCTTTATTAATAGTCCTGCTTGCTTGTTATAAACCGATAAATATCGATTTTAGTCTTAAGGATAGCAACGAGCTTTATATAAAACTTGAACTTTATTGTGTCATATATTTATATGAAATCTGCTTTTATTTTCCCATATCAATAGTCCTGCTTGCTTGTTCTAAATCGATTATATCTGAACTTTATGTATATTGATTTTATAGATATACCCTCAAGTCTTATTAAGCCTATAGATACCTATACTGCTGCATCAGTATATAATAGATACTAGAATCGAATATATGTTTAGAGTTATATATAGACTATTTTCTACTTCGACCAATCAGCCTCCCTTTTTTATTGGCAATTAGTAAAGCAATAACTTGTTTTTTTTAGCTACATTTTTAAAATCTCCCATTCAATTACAACTGCCAGCTTCAATAAATTAGATTTTCAAACTTTGTGCTTGAAAAGTTGATTTGACCTATTATTATATATTTAACAATGTCCCAAAATTACTTACCTTTAGGGTGCTTCTGCTTTTTGCTTTTCCTGATTCAAACTCTGTTCCATTGAAGTTTATGTTGTTGTTATTATTGCTGTTGCTGCTGCTGGTTGCTGTATTCAGTAAAATTGTTTGCATAGTTGGGTCTTCGGGCTGAATTGCGAGCATGTCCTGACTTGGCTTTGCCGTAACTAGAACGTGAATCGGAGGCGTTGGCAAGTTGTCGCTCTCACTCCGTGGCGACAACACTTCAGCCACATTGCTGGGTAGCAACAGCAGCGCAATGTGCGTTATGACCAACTTATACAACATTAACCGAAGCATTCTTCAAGTTTCCACTGCTCATAGTTGATATGGGGATGTCTGCTATTGCTGAAACATAATAAGGTATAATAGCAGACAACTGATGATGATATATCAGAATCATGACTCTTTAAAGAAGTACAGATATGAGGAAGTACGTGTAAATAAAACTAATTGGAGAGGTACATAGAGATAAGCAATCGCATACTTACTCCACCTTTATAAATATAACAAGTTAGAGTACTCCAATTATTCTACGCTTCTGTTATGCATACTTAACAAGCAACACACACACACACACACAGACACACACATACACATATACGCTCACATAAGTACGTGCTCCGCTTACTGCGCATTTTTGCATCTCAATAGTTGCGCTTGTGACTTTTACTATGGAAAATGAATTGTTGAATAACATATTTTCGTCAGGAGTAGCCGACGAGGACACATTTTAATTTTGTTGAGATTGGGGCAAAGTATCGAGAAGTATGCTGCTCTTAGGGAGGAATTTGATATGAGTGCTTACAAAGGAAAGCAATAGGTAATAAAATAAACATCAGCGCAGGCAAACAACGGAAAACTAATTAGCTGCATATCATAAAAGCTGCAAACGTGGAGACGTATACGTCGAGTATACGCCCTGTGTAACAGCTTTGGCCATTTGAACATTTTCCACACGTTATGAAAAACTCGGGTGGCTGTTATGACAATCGCTGAACTTGTATACAGCTGAACGTCACAAAATGGTAAATATTTCATGCATATAAATATATATATCCTGTAATTGATTGGGCTAATTGGGGTATATGGAATGGTTAAATTGAGTAATATGGTAATATGAGTAATCTATATATAGTTACTTAGTCAACAGCCTTAATGATAGATTAGGCGATAGACATAGAAATATACCCTGTAACTGAACAAAAAAGTTTGCTAATTAGAAGATACTTTTCCCTATTATTAATTAATTTTAACAGAGAGACTGACAACTTTGCCAGCTACAGGGTAGTCTCATGCAGTCATTCATGCCTTCTCATATTCGGCAATGACAAACGACAATTATACAAATACTTAGATTTAATTGTTATTGAAGCAAAACAAAACACGCGTCAGCAGAAAGCAACTAAATGCAATGCACTTAACGGTAGCATCTGTCACCTGTGTTTGTGTGCGTTTGATATTGCCTGTTATCTAGCGGACAGCAGAAACAATGCCTTTAGGTAATTTGCTCAAGCAAAGTAGTAGCTCGGCTTATAATGGGGCTTTATGTTGCCTGAAAAGCCACATGGCGTATGATTATTTAACAAGCTGATTATGTGCTTGAGCGATGGCTACCAAAGAAGCTACACACATGATGTCATGTTCCGAATTTGCTTAAAGCCCAATTATAACATAAATAAATAATGCAGCTCTAGTCGGCAATATCCGACTAGAAGATACCCTGAACACCTTATATGTTATACACCCTTCTTTCCTTTTTAATTTATGAATAAATTGATGATGTCTTTGATTCTAAGCCGAACTGCACATAGCCCTAAGCACATACAAAGACCACAATTTATTCTGTCTTTTGTGCATAGCATTGGCAATTGAATGGCCAACCACTTAGCTTGGCCAAACGATTTGTGCTCCCATCTGTTACACTGTTACCAAACACACTTAAATGTTCCGTTATATTGGAAATACAGTAGAACACACTACGGTTATCGGCAAAGGCAATCGCGATGATTCAGCAAGCGTACTTATGGTAGCTCTAAACAATAATATGTGTATATGTATATGTTTTTCCATTTTATTTTGGCTTTGATAGTCATAATTCTTCAAGTCATCATTGCGATAACAATACCGCGTATTTCTATATATACCCATTAAATTTGCATTGTGCACTTTCATCATATATATATATATATATATATATATATATATGGACATTTAAAGCATTTTCACATTTTCATTTTCGCTTTTCTGTTGACATTTGAGGTTTGCCGCGACGCCATTCGCCTCAGTTTAGCGCTAAGTGTTTTTCTGCTCAATGTGTGTGTGTGTATGGTTGTGTGTGTATTTGTCTTTGTTATTCGCCGTTGTCAGCGCCTGAACACTTGCTAAACTCGCTAGCCAGTTCGCTTTAGTCGAGCAGGATTAATGCACGTATTTATATATAGTAATGCTAACAAAGCTAATTGTTGACAAGGCATTAACAGCCCTGGGACTGGGTTGGTAGAGCCAGTAGCTAGGTCATAAATTAAGCCATGTCACAACGTTTTTTATTTTATGGCCCGCTTGCTGTTTGTTTGCTTTGGTTTAACGCCCTATCCAAACCGCTCGACCCCTTTCCTTTCAGGACCCGTTCAGTCCTACCAACTGGGCCATAAATGAAAACAGTTTTATGCTGTGCCAAAATCGCGATAATATTCCTCGTTGCTAGTGGCAGCAGAGTCTAATTACTATCTGGCAAAAGATAGCATCGTTATTGAATTAATATTTTAATCAGTTTTGTAACTAACACGTGATTTCACATAGAAAATTGTTCTTCTTTTCTCATTTCGTTTCAAATTTGAATGAGTTCCAATAATGCTCACAATTGGAATTTATTCAAATTTTTGGCATTAAATAATAATAATAATAATAATTTTTTTACTTTTCTAATTAGATAATTTGCATATTAGTTCAAAATGTAAATTATTCCAAAAATGTTCATCAAAATTATTAATATTTGATCTAATTTTATAATATTTTCTATGCATAAAATATAATCAGAAATGCTTAATCGTAAATGGATTTACCCTTAGTCTCTTCCACAAATATAACAATATAAATCAAACACAATGCGCTGACCGCTGCACAGCCCCACATTGTGACATCCAATCCCCAATACTCCATCATTAGTGGAAAAGCTTTCAAAGAGGTGAACGCAAAGCCACTGAGACAGCCCAAGCAAGCACTGGTGGCCGCTGCCCGTATTTTCTGAGGAAGGATTTCAACTAGAACTACCATTGTAACCGAGATAATTCCCACATTAGCCACAAAGATATTAAAGGCCATTAATGTGACGGGCAGCCAGGCCGAATAGGCGCTTAGATCCGCCTCAGTTTCGTCACCAAAAAACGCATACAGACCAAAGGCGCCGGTGCCTAATGCAGTGCCGGCACAAGAAATAATAAGAAGTATTTTACGGCCATGTCGATCCACCAAGTAGATGGAAGCCAGCGTGCCCACAATCTGCACTGCTCCAATGATAATCGTGTTTGTATTAGGCTCCAGCTGGGTGTGAACCCTCTCGAAGATGTTTGACATGTAATTGATGAAGGCAAAAGTGCCAGTGAATGCGTTGCCTATCATCAGCACAAGTCCCGTCATAATAGCTTTAATGGCGCGCTTGTTGCCTGCCCAGGAAAGAGTAAGGAAATGTCAAAAACTAGTTTATAGCTCATTCGATCAAAGCTTACAGAAGTCCGCCATGGTTAGGCCCTCGTTGCCATCCTCTTTGACCTGTTGCAGTAAGCCGTCACGCATTTCATCAAACTGTTTCTGATAAGCACGCTCCGACTCCTTGCTAGGCGCCGGACCATCGCAGTTACAATAATACTTTAGTGAACGTTTCGCATCCTCCTCTCGGCCCCAGTGCAGCAGCTGCTGTGGGGTTTCAGGAAATCGTGTTGTCAGCAGGAGATAGCATAGAGGTAGGGATATGACTACGAATGGAATCACGTGGTAGGGCACATGGGAGGCTATGATGAAGCCCACCATTATTCCAATATTGATGGCCAGGGTAAAGAAGGAGCACAGCCTGCCGCGTATACTACAAATGCATTTATGCAAATTGATTGCTAGCTGCATTTTCGACTGGCCAACAATTTGACCACTCACCTCTTGTCCGCGATTTCGCCAATGAAGAGGGGCAGCACTATAAACATGCCGCCCCCTGTTAAGCCGGCACACATTCTGGCAACGTACAACCACTCAACGGAGTCAGCGAAATATAATAGTAACCAAATACACTGAGTTAATAACATTTCATGTAAGTCTACCATTGCTCCAATTTAAATAATTTGCTTCACTAACCGTGTGGGGCACGGCAAGGCCATAGAGCGCCGCTTTGCGTCCGAAGCGATTCATGACGAACGAAAATAGGAAATTACCCGAAAATCCACCAAAGCTGATCATAGACCCTACCCAAGACGCCTCATTCACATCGATGACAAAGTCCAGCGGGGTCTCTGAAGCTGATTGCAGCTTGGGCAGCATAGGAGACAGCCAGCCCAAGCCGATGCCGTGGCAAAATGTAATTACTATAGCTATAGATAGTCAAGTATTTATTTAAATAGTGAAGTCCAATTCATTCTTATACAATTCCCAGTTCATGAAAGTAATATCCCCTTTGAATGACATCGGAAGCTCGTAAAGCAGGTCGGGTCTTAGTCTGCTCTGCCGTAAGCACTTCGTAAGCCCCAATAAACCTACCACTCAGTGTAGCCAACAGTTGACGACGAAAATCCTTCTCAAATATGCCCGACCCGAATATTTCGACAAACATTCTGCTGAGTTTCTTGTTTAATTGTTTTTTGGAACAATTTTGCAAGTAAAATTTCTTTATAGCTGTCTTTATTACCGCGCTCGACAATTATCTAAAATGTTTTCTAATGCTTTATGAATGCTGCGGGTTGTATATTCCATGCTATTCAATTTTGTGAATTGCGTCCAACTGCAGCATGAATTAAGATCGCGCCAGCTACTCTGTCCGAGAACTGATGAAAGCGGAGTCGTCCGAGCATTTATATTTCGAACGTATACCGTAATATCTTAAAACGTAACCAAATCTAAATCCTTGTATAAACACAATATTTAACAGAGAGAGCGTCAAGTTGCTGGGTTAAGGTGTTAGACAAAATTCTACTGAGAGATTGACATGCACTCAGCTTGTAGCCCGGGGGGTCTGTTGCCCAAAGCTTACGCTATTCTACAATCTTTATGGAGAGGTAAATCATCAGAGAGTGATGCTCGTACGTAATCTGGTTATCTTAAGTTTGAAGTATTCTCACCGGAACTCACACCGATTCAAAAAAAGATTTCTCCTTATCTGTGACTTTGCTTTCCGATGACATTGTACATGTTTCATGATCTTGCTATCTTAATGAATGAAAATTTAGTGTCTAGGCTGGACCTTATAGTGCCAGTGCCATGCCACACTACTAAAGTGATTGCCGAGCAAATACTAGGAATGACGGAGTCTGTACAGGCTAAGGTCAGTGGATAGAGATGAGGGTAAGGAAGATCAGAGGTTAAGGTTAATGACTATGATATCGAGGATCCCAAAACAGAAATCGATCTGTACTCCTCCTCGGCCTCGGTTAGAGAAGGTATCTATATTTTGAATTGTATCTCGAAATAGCAACAGTCTTATCCAAATGCAGATTAAAGGGACCTATGATGATGAATTTTTCGATTGTTATTCCATCAAATATATGATTGAGAAACATTTCAGAAAGATAGACAGAAATCTGCACAGACTAAGCAGATGTTATCTTAGATAGAGGTCTAAATCCACCATTTATTAATAAATTATTAGAGACACAAATTAAAAATATATTTTTTATTGTTATTCCATAAGGTAAGTGGTTGATAAGTTGATTCTATAAAAACTTATAAGAGTATAACATATCAAGGTGAGAGCCCGTTCTCTTACTTATTCGTAAATGGACTTATTTTTTGTCTCGTCGAGAAAGACAACCACATAAAATAGACATAAGACGCTAACTACAGTGCAGAACCATATGGTGACAGCTAGTCCAAGATATTCCATCATCAGCGGAAAAGTCTTCACGGATGTGAAGGCCAACAGGCTAAGACAACCAAAGCAAAAGCTCGAAGCAACTGATCGTATCTTCTGAGGGAGCACTTCAACTATAACTACCATTGTAATTGAGATAATTCCCACATTAGCAATGAAAATATTTAAGGCCATTATTGTGACGGGCAGCCAGGCGGAATAGGCGCTCAGATCTACGCTCGTTTCTTCAGCGAAGAAGGCATACAGCCCAAATGCACCGGTGCCTAATGCGCAGCCAATACACGAAATAATGAGAAGTATTTTCCGGCCATGTCGATCTACCAAGTAGATGGAAGCCAGCGTGCCCACAATCTGCACTGCTCCAATTATAATCGTATTAGTATTGGGATCCAACTGTGTGTGCACCCTCTCGAAGATGTTTGACATGTAATTGATGAAGGCAAAAGTGCCAGTAAATACGTTTCCCGCCATTAATATAAGTCCCGTCATAATGGCTTTTAAGGCGCGCTTGTTGCCTGTCCAGAAACAAATCGGAAAGAAGAAAGCAAATGCCAAAAACTAGATTATAATCCAATCGATCAAAGCTTACAGAAGTCCGCCATGGTTAGGCCCTCGTTGCCATCCTCTTTGACCTGTTGCAGTAAGCCGTCACGCATTTCATCAAACTGTTTCTGATAAGCACGCTCCGACTCCTTGCTAGGCGCCGGACCATCGCAGTTACAATAATACTTTAGTGAGCGTTTCGCATCCTCCTCTCGGCCCCAGCGCAGCAGCTGCTGTGGGGTTTCAGGAAATCGTGTTGTCAGCAGGAGATAGCATAGAGGTAGGGATATGACTACGAATGGAATCACGTGGTAGGGCACGTGGGAGGCTATGATGAAGCCCAGCAAAATTCCCATATTGAGGGCCAGGGTAAAGACGGAGCAGAGTCCGCCACGTATGCTACAAACATTTTTTCAGAAGAAATTTCTATTGCCCAGCTATAGTTTCACTCACCTCTTATCCGCAATTTCACCAATGAAAATAGGCAGCACCACATACAAGCCCCCGCCCGTAATGCCGGCACAGAATCTGGCCACATAAAGCATTTCAATGGAGTTAGCAAAATAGAAGAGGAACCAAATGAACTAAGAAATACCACTGAACTTTAGCTTCTTCAAATTCAAATCGCTTAACTCGCTCGTTTTTTGTTCAACTAACCGTGTTGGGCACAGCCAAGCCATATAGCGCCACTTTGCGTCCAAACCAGCTCATGATATAGGCGAAGAGGAAGTTGCCCGTGACACCGCCCAAACAAATTATGGAGCCCACCCACGAGCCCTCATGTACGTCAACCACAAAGTCCAGGGGTGTCCTTGACTCTGACTGCAGCTTGGGCAGCATGGGAGAGAGCCAGCCCAATCCAATGCCATGTGAGAGCGTTATGACAATAACTGTGAACAAGCAATTGGTTTACTATCTTTTTTGAGTATATCTGATCCCCACGCCTAATCTAACCATCAAGGCAACAACCATTGACTCGAACGACCTTCAAAGCATTTCAAATGTTAAGCATTAAACAAGAAAATTAACTTTACGTCTTGCACCTGCTTAAAAATGTGAGTAATCTTTGCTCTCCATCTCTTTTAATGCGCGTCTTAAAAGCATAAAAAATAAAATTTATTTATGGCACTCTTATCTTCTTTCTTCTTTATATGAATTTTTTGAGATCACAGCACCAGGTATAAGACATAAATATAAAATATTCCTGGATGAAAATAGTAGAGAAGTCTAAACGTATTGTGTTTTCTTGTTCCTATGTTTATTTCTCACGTTAGTAACGCACAGTTTTTCAGACCCACCTCGAATACTTGATATAAAATAATTTAAAGTTGTAAAAACCTAGATAACTATTTTGTTTACTTTTTCACCTCAAAAACCTAGCCGTCTCTATCACATCTAGTATTGCATATCCCAAAATTTCAGAAAACGTACCACTAAATGTGACCTGAAACTGGCGACGAAAGTCCTCCTTAAATATGCCCGATTTGAACATTTTCAGATACATTTCGATGAGATTCTTGTTTAATTTGTGTATATAATTATACAATTTAATTTAATTTCAATTATAATTATTGATTATTTTTGTCACAGTTTAAGTTTGCAATAGATCCTCATTTAAGTGTTGCATAGAAATAAAATTACTCCGATATGATTTTTCCATGCTAGTTAGTGAGATATTTGAAATCGAGTTAATATCGCGCCTGCTGCTCTGTACAAAGTATCTTGTGAAATACGAGGTGCCCCACTTTTATACAAGCAGCGAAAATCGTGATATCTCTAGACATATTCCAATCTTAATCTTTGTTTAAATACGAATTTGTCGCTGGGAGAGAGTAACATGTGTCCAGCTTATGGCCTCTGTCTGACGGTCAGGGAGTTGTGACGCCTCAAGCACTAGGTAATCTTTATAGATGGATAAATCATCAGCGTGTAATTATTAGATTAAAGAAATCTGCAGCATATTCATGCCATCTGCAACCGGTGTTACGAAACCCTTAAAATATGTCTCATTTCTAAATGTCTGCAGCCAAAATATATTGGATTTGCGTCACATTAAATTGGCTGTAAGTAAAATGCTTGGAAAAGCGTTACTCGTATCAATACTGAGATAAATTATATTAGTGGAATCAAAAATTAAATAACAAAATTAGATTTTATAAAATTTCAATTTAAAAGCTTGTGCGAAAAGGAATTTGATCAAATTCGGTCACCCTAATAATATTCATTTGTGCTAAATATGACCAAAAAATAGGTTATTACATAAATCAGCAGATTGTCTAATGGAGCGACTGCCTATCGGCAAGGAATTTCATTTTAAATAATGAGAACAGCATCTGGATATGCTGTTTATATCAGCAATAATGAGAGCTATCTCTTAATTGTTAACGAAAACTTTAACATTGTCAGAGGTATTATAACATATATAAAAGAAATAGGTTCTTGTTCTCATAATTGTCAATAAAAGCGAGCAATACGCCACACATTATATGTAAACAATCTCTTATAAACTTACAAAAGAGAGTAACTTCTAGTAGATCAATCCTGATTATCAAACATTTCTGTTATTTATATAAAAATTGCCTGCCTGAACCATTGCAAAAATGTAAGCAAAAACTTTAACAGTGACAGGGCTACCATAGTATAGAAACAGGGTCGTTATTAGCATGTGTCTGTAAAAGCGATCAATGCGCCAAAAATCAAATTCAAGCCATTTTCTTATAAATAAAACAAAATAATTAACTTCTGTTTCGTTCTTACTTATTTCGTGTTTTGTTACAAGTAATATTTAATTATATATATCCCTTATTAATAGTACATAGATTTGCCTTTTGTCTCCTCAAGGAAGACTACCATATAGAAAAGGCAGAACGTGCTAACCGCTGAACAGCCCCACATAGTGGCTGCCAGTCCCAGGTACTCCATCATTAGAGGGAAACACTTAAGCGCTATAAACGAAAAGCAGCTAAGGCAAGCCAAGCACAAGCTTGTAGCAAAAGCCCGAATCCTCTGTGGAAGGACCTCAACCAACACGACCATAGCAACAGATATTATGCCAACATTGGCCAAGAATATGATAAAGCCCATTATTGTCACAGGCAACCAGGCAGAGAGTACGCTTAAATCCGTGTCCGTTTCCTCCCCATAAAAAGCATAAAGGCCAAATGCTCCGGTGCCCAGTGCACTTCCCACACACGAAATAATTAGAAGTATCTTGCGTCCATAACGATCCACTAAATAGATGGATGCCAGCGTGCCCACAATCTGCACAGCCCCAATGATAATCGTATTAGTATTGGGATCCAGCTGCGTGTGAACTCTCTCGAAGATGCTTGACATGTAGTTGATGAAGGAGAACGTCCCAGTAAATATGTAGCACAGCATTAACATTATTCCAGTGATGATGGCCTTCAAGGCGCGCTTGTTGCCTGTTCAAAAGGTAAGGGACTTAGATAATAAAAAGCATTAAAGCTGTTCAAAATTTGCGCATACAGAAATCAGCCATGCTTAGATCCACATTGCAGTTGTTCTTGACTTGCTGCTGAAGGCTCTCTCTCATTTCTTCGAATTGCCTTTGATAAGCCTGAATGGACTTCCTGCTAGGTGACGGACCATCGCAATTGCAGTAATATTTCAAAGAGCGCTTTGCGTCCTCCTCCCTGCCCCATTTGACAAGCTGTTGTGGTGTTTCCGGAAATCGTGTGGTTAGAAAGAGATAACTAAGGGGAAGAGCCACTACGGCACAAGGAATCACATGGTAAGGCACATGCGATGAAATAATGAAGCCCAGCAATATACCAAAATTTATAGCCAGGTTGAAGAAGGAGCATAGTCGACCACGTATGCTGTGAAATTGGATGTCACTCAAATTGTAATTGACCATTTGACAATTCACTCACCTCCTGTCGGCTATTTCGCCAATGAAAATGGGCAACACCAAGGACATGCCGCCGCCCGTTAGTCCGGCACAAATTCTGGCCACGTAAAGCATTTCAATGGATTCCGCGAAGTAAAACAAAAACCAAATACACTGCGGAATTAACGTTTGACTCGACAATATTATGATTTTTGTGGGTAAGTGGATTTGGTAAACTAACCGTGTTCGGCAAGGCGAGGCCATAGAGCGCCACTTTACGTCCAAAACGGTTCATGATGTAGGAGAAGAGAAAATTGCCAGTTAAAGCACCCAAACTGAGCATGGCCCCTAGCCATGAGGACTCATGCACATCAATCACAAAGTCGACAGGCGTCTCCATTGAGGACTGCAGCTGCGGCAGCATCGGAGACAGCCAACCCAATCCAATGCCATGGCAAAGTGTGATAAGTATTGCTAGGTGGATAATTGATGTTCAATGCTTTTTAGTGAATCTCAACCTGAGTCTCCTTCCCCTGCTAAGCCATTCATCAAAGCAAACATAACTACTCAAATGCCATCCAACCGCTTGAAGCCACTCAGGCATCAAGATCGATTGAAATCCTGTGTTAAGTCATGCCTACATTAAGCACTGTTCAGATCCATGCTGAGCAAATTCAAAATAATTTTCTTTCTCTCTCGGTTCAGGCTGTTTTAAATGCTCTTTTGAAGCTTTTAAAAACTTAAGGCAACTCTAAAATTTCCTCTACTTCTCTCTTGTTGCTCATGTTCTTAAGAAACCTTTTAAGATAATTTGAAGCTATGCAGCATTAATGCACACTAGATATATATCTATAAGAAGTTAAGGTTCTCAAAACCTTTTCTAGTTGTCATATAACTTTATATATAAATCACAAACACTCGACTGTCTTAATCATAGATAGAGTTCTTCTTATAGAACTTCTCTTTACCACTCAATGTCACCAGCAGCTGTCGCCGAAAATCTTTGCTTAATATACCCGATCTAAACATTTTGTTGAGGCTTTTGTCTTAATTTAAATGAAATTGTTTTTTTCTAAAATATATATTGTTCTGATATGGGTTTTTCATGCTATTCACTTGAAGTTCACTTGAAAACGCGCGTGTTGCCCTGTCTGAGTTATACTCTCGAGTAACTTGTAAAATTCGAATTGTGGCCTAATTTTTATCTGCAGCGTAAATTGTGATATCTCAAGACGTATCTAGTTTTAAATCTTTGTGCAAACAAATTAGAGAAGTTTCAGCTGAGAGAATATTTGCCCAAAGCTCTGGCAGCTTTGACTCTCTCGTTATCTTCATAGATGAATAAGTCACATTCGTGATGCTCACTGCTCTGATAAAGTCTCTTAAATAGTTTTGCTTTGCTTGAGCCATCAAATTAGTTTGCTCCAGCAATCTGGAAAACCTGACCAACAACAAATAGTTTTGGGGCAAAAAGTTTGTGAAACGCTGACTTCATTTAAGAAACTTTGAAAATGTTTTCTATTCATACATTAAACAAAATTCGAAGTAAATTTTGCTGTACTCCAAATCGAAACAAATTTAACATGTACACAAAGTGGGAAAAGAAGTTACACAATGTTGATTGATTGTCCACAAATTATGGGGGTGCGGGAAATCAAATAGAACATTCAACTTTCAAAGCTGTTAAAGGATATAAAGTCCTATAAGAGTATCGATATCTTTGACCTCACTGTACCTTAGTCATCCGTATTTAGTTACACTTAAGGAATCAGCGCGAATATGCCAATCACTACAACGGAAGCCTTTTATTGTGTTTTTCCCCGACTTCTGTATAATACAGTAACAATTCCCTTGAAGTTCGTTGCATACCTATGTATGTGCAGGGTATGTGAAGGCAAATATGTTAGCGTAAATGTAAAGCACAAAAGCAAACTTTGATGACGTCTTTTGTCATGCTTCGACTTTGATGTGGCAACGACTGCGACTCGTTCGCATCGAATACCACCCGATAAGGTACAAAGCCTAAAGCTTCAACTTGCCAAATCAGTGAAGTCGATATAGTAATATGTTGACAAGCTAGTCTGTTCTGGTGAACAGTGCTCGACTGGAAGATGCCCTGTCTAATGGGTATAATGTTTATTTCAGTTTGGGTTTCTTATATTCTACATTTTATCATACCCTGTTGAAGAATTCAATAGATTTTTATACACCATTTTTGCTTATGTCACCGGAAAGTATTTAATATATCAAAATGGATTAGCTTTGAATGTTTTTGGCGACTGCAATAAACATATGAGTGTGACTCCCTTATAAATCTATATAGATATATAAATATATATATAATTATAATAAAATTCCAGTTTTCTTTTAATTATCTGATAACTTTTGTTAATTTATACACTTTTGAAATGATAATTGTAGTTTTTCAAGCACCTTGATATAGTCTGTTTTCAGTGAAAAATATTATCAATTCTATATATGCACTTGATAGCTATGTAATCTGATCATTTAAGCAATATAATAACAATGATAATATTGTCCGGCCAAGGGGGACTTTTCATTTTTAAATTGTCTCCCAATGTCTACACTTATTCTCTTGTCGCGATTCTTATGTTTTATCCTTGATCTCTTATCTTTTATATCTTTTTCTTCTCTCTTCTCCTCTCCTTGTAGTTTGATAACCTTTTAGCAAACAAATTTAAACCCAAACCCACTTTTCAAGACTTATTTTCTGGTAGAGTATTAGCACGAGGAGACAAGCTTTGAACAAATGATTTTACTTTAAAGTCTTATCGCCCTTTAGCAGCGAGTTCAACGTCGCAAATTTTATGATATGTATTGAATTCTGTTTAATGATAAGTTATATATATATATATATATATTATATATGTACATATATATTCATATATATACACTTTTACGTCTAATCGTTATCGTGGACGCATTCGATGCCTTGATAAGTTCAATTTGTATTCTATTTTATGGCAACTTGAACAGAATTTTTTTGTTGATTTTGTGATTGTTGGTTTTGTTGTTTGGATTTTTTTAGGGTAAACTAGAAATAAACAACGTAAAAAACTGCCAAACGCGGAGGCTACAGATGTGCCCAATCGTTTGGCGTGTTGCGCTGCCAGTTGGTATTATTCTTGTTACGCAGGGGGCCCATTTGCGTCGGTTTCCTTGCCATTTTGGCCATTTCGAGCCACTAGCGCGCAGCATTTAGCTCAATGGGCTTTTGGCTGCGCGAATATGTGTGTGTGTGGGCTTTGTCACGCGACTGGGAATTAACCTGTTGAACACACAGACACGCTTCATGGCTGGCGATAAGGCTCTTCGGGTATGACAAGTATTAATAAGCCAATAATTTGGCATTGTTCTGGCCGCCGCGTGGACTATCGAACTTTAAACCTATGTTGCGGGAACCACTTTTATACACGCCAGCCACCCTCTATTTGGTCTGCTTGCAAACGTTCTTTTTTAATCTTTAAACAAGCCGCATTGAAGGCTAACGCTGCGTATACGCAATTCGATGATTGGATACACATATTGCGTATACAAAAAGCATTCCAAATGAAAATTCAGGATACAATGGTTCATGCAGCAGTCAGTTAATATAATCAGATCTCGGTTCACTCGAGATAAAGGGGTAAACACAAATCTGTTCCGTATTCAGTTCACTCGATCCGGTTAATGCGGATACGAATCACAACTATAATGTCGATGTATATAGGTGTTGATGCTTATAATCTAGTCGGGCATGACCACCTAAAATCTACATAAATTTCTGTTTCTCTTACATTAAAATGCAACCAACAGTTGAACTGTTTGTTCAACTCTGCGTATGCGTGTTGTATATGAGAACATTTTATCTTGCGTGTTTTATTTCAGTTTTTGAAACAAAAGCAAACAAAAGTTTTTCAGTTTTGCAGCATTTCATATTTCGTGGGAATAACTCGAAAATGTAACTGAATAATTGCGGGCTTAGTTTATATCTCTCTGTGTTTATCTATGACCTCAGCAACTGTTGTTGCCGTTTGGAAGCCGCAAATGCCAACGGCAACTAGACTCAAACTGTGGCAATGTCAACGCCTTGGCCGTATATGAAATATCAATGCAAGTGCAACAACTTTATATAAGATAAAACATACAAATATATTTGAGCAATATAAAACAAATTCTCAATTAATAAATGGGAAACTGTTGGAATTCTGAAATATTTATTGAATTAGATATATGCAAAAATATGCAACAGTGTATTTGGGTCAAACACTGCAAAATGAATAAAGTTCTTGCTTATCCATCCATCATAGAGCCACAGGACTAGGTCTCGATATGCGGCCATTTCAATGTCTGCATTTTTTGTTGCCTCTTTTCACGCTTTCTGTAATTTAAAATATATTAAAATCATTTTCTTTGACCGCACACCTCCAGATCAAAAATATTCATAGCTAATAATTTTAGTGAATTGTTTACTATTTCTTTTTAAGGGGAATATGCTTCATTCAGTTTTACAATTCACTCAGAGTAGAAAATCCCAAATATTTGTGTTCATTCGTGGCAACAGTAAATATTCAATTTGATCCAGTTCAATTCTGTTTTTTATTTATTTAGCTATTTGTTTATGTGGCTCGGCATGCGGGGTCTGTGGGCGTGCATGAGAATAATGTGTGACGCGCTTCGATCAAATAGGAAGGAAGAGCCAATTTCTTACAATTACCACAGTGAGGGGCATTTTCTTTAACAGAAAAAAAATACCATGTAATTAGAAATGTGCTGCTGACTTATAAACATAAGAGGTAAATGGTTGCAGTCAGGCGTCAGCGATTGCAAGATACTCGCTCGAATAGAACTCTACACTTATCTAACCATCCATTTCTATTGCTTGCTATTGCAAATATAATAGAGTTTCTTAAATAAAACGGCTATAGTATTTCCCAATTTACCACGCCTCTAGTGGGCGTACTGGGAAAATCCTAGGAAAAGCCAATATTTTCCATTTACTTTGTGAACAAGTATAAAAACTAGGAAAAAAAGAGTTTTTTAGTTGTTTTTTTGAGCGAGCAATATTTATCGCGCCTGTTTATTTAGATTAAATGTGTCTGTGTGTATGTGTGCGTGAGAGAGAGCGAGTGTGTTGAACTATATATACATTTTTAGTTTGAATGCTTAATATTAATAAATTATATGCTTTTAAGCAGTTCGCGACCCACACACACACATGCACGCAGAGCCAGAGTCAGAGGCGGACCGAGCCAACCTCGATAACAATTGTTGTATTTAAGCTAGCTGCCAATTTGATAATTAATCGAACTTACATGCACACACACACACATATGCACGCACACATATGTATAGAAAATGGCGTCGCATTGCTTATCACTTGAAGTGCTCATTGCTTAATTTGTCCACACAAAAGAACTAAATAAAAGAGCAAAAGCAAAGCGAATAAAAAGAAAAAAAGAAGCATGACTAACGCGCACAGTAGTCGAACCGTGCCATGAAGACAATTATAATAGGCAAAGGGGGCGGTGGCACGGCACCAAAGCCGACCAATTGGTGGGGGACTGGGTGACGACCCCTGTGCAGACCCAGTTCAAAAGTCCGTCCAAATCAGTTGTACCTGAACACAGATACGCCAAACAAATCAAAAGCAACTTCAACAACCCGCACACACACACACACACTCACACGCATATTGAGTCGTTTGACTTGAGTTCAGAGTCAAGTCAAAATTTGTTGCGCAGTCGAAAGAAATTGAATCACAATTTCTCAGATTGATGAACGACCTGCGACCTGAACAATGAACGAGCTAAACAATGTATCCTACTTGTAAATTCTATATAGAAATCCTAGGGAATACATATATATATATACATATATAACAAATATATATATATATATATATTTAATTTATATATATGTTGAGTGAGTTAAGATTAAATTTAGCTTTGATTTATGGTATTCGATTTGTGATTAGGCAAAGGCAGTTCAGTTGTAGTGGAGCACAAATGTTGAAGACACATGTGCATATATATTTTGAATATAGAGTATATAGGATAGTATTTTATATATAGTATATAGATATTAATAGTATAGTATATAGTATAGATTGTTGATTAATATGTCAAGCTCTCTATTAATAATGAAACTATTTTTAAACTCTAAAAGTATAATATAAATATTTATATACTATGCATACAAGGAATAGATTTGCAGAACAGAAGTTTTCTTCCAAAATGGTATATTTTATTGATATACAAAATTTTTTAAGAATTGCGTGCAATGTCCGTTCGCATGAATGCAAACCATTTCGCAGCTATTAAAGCTAAAGAATTGAAATTTGCAGCATTACAGCTTCTAAAGACGTGAATTTTAAATTTAATTTATATAGATAAATAGAAGATATATCCATGGCCATAAATAAATTGTGAATTCTATATTTGAGTTACTCTTGACTTCTTACTCTATTGATTTGCGCTAATTTGGTGGCGTGGTAACTCGGGAGTAAGCTGTATCTTCCACAACTTTGGAGTTTAAGAGCCTTAATCTTGAGCTCTTCTTAAGATTAACCAAAAAGTCAGTCAGTGATGTTTTCCTGATATGCATCTATATCTTTAAAGATAATATCTCTGCTCTACTGGAAAGCCACTCAAATTTGAGACTTACAAACTGTATTTTCGTGTAAATAAATATTTTATGAAAGTAGCAATTCAATGACAAGAATATAAAATTCATGCATGCAGTAGAGTCTTTAGAAGTTCGTCTAGCCGAAGCTAAATATTATTTCTTGCTCGATACTATTTGTTTTTTTGGTATTGCTATCTAATCAAGGCCAAAACGTCTGCGGCCTGCCTGATTCCATTTAAAAAAATTCAAAGTCAAAAAAACAATGGTGCACTCGAGTGGCAACAACTAAGTCAAAAATATATAATATATATATCAAGTAGTATACAAATATTTAGTCTAAGCTCAAGCATAACTCTTAAGCCAGGCTTAATTTCAGATTGATTTAAAGAAATTGCAATGAAATGGAGATGTGGAAATATAAATTGAATTAGTGTGAGAGGCACTTACCACATCAGATGTTGCCAGTTGGTGTCCACTCTAGTGTTGCCAGCTAAGGTACACTCTAGTGTTGTGTAAATTTGCCTTTAAATTAGTTTTGTTTTCCTCTATTTGGGATTTTGGTTTTGCTGTATTTGAACTGAACTCTCTTTGGAGTTAGCCAAGTCGTTGAGCATTAGCTTTTGTTGGCACTAGACTAACACACACGTACACACACACACACATATATGGGGCTGACGTATTTGTATTTGTTTGCCGTTTTACAGCACTTATCCATTTAACTAGTTTGAACAGCAAATGGTTAGAATGCGAGGCTCTTTTTGCTTAGAATAACTTTTTTGCTTGTCTTTTTTATTATTTTTGTATATTTTAGTAATATTTATTATTTATTTAATTGAAGCATTTCAATTTAAAATTTCGATTTTCACTTGAAATACTTTTTAATATTCCTGTTCAAATTGATGTTTGTTTTTAAATTCCTTATGCAAATATGTTGGAAATATCTCTAACTCACGCACACACATTTGCTATGCAAATAATATTTATTTATAGTTGACTTCACGCAATTTTCCACGCTTTTTCTATTTTCATTTGCATTTTCATTTTCATTTCAATTATCTTCTATTTTTGTTTTCTTAACTCACTATGTTTGGCTTTCACTTTTCAAAATTTGCCGTCGCGCGCCAATTTTTGTTGCATTAACTTTAATTTGATAACGGTATCTGTGTGTTTTGTTGCCACTGGCTGTGTGAGCCGCACCGCGCCGACCCGAACAGAGCAGACCAGAGACGTTGAAGCAACAAGCGTTTATGCCGCAATGATAAAAGTTTGTTAACTGTGAATTTTGTTGTCTCAGTTGCTTTTCGGTAGCAGCGAAAGCTCTGCGAAAGCTTTCAACTGCGTGTGGATGTGGTCTGATAACACGAGAGTGTGTGTGTGTGTAAGTACAGGGAAGCTTCGCTAAATGCTAAATATTCAAATGAAGCTTTTCTCTGTTAATTGTTGCCTCCTCAGGGCTTGGGAGCTTGAGAAACTTTAACTCAAGTGTATACTTGATTAGTACAGTGAAGCCTTGCTAAATTCGAAATATATTCAACGGAAGTTAGTTACCTTTAAAACTGGTTCACTTCATCTCACGCATAAATGTGATTCTTATCAGATGGAAAATAAGGAACTGTAACTTAATATAATTGATTGAGCTAAAGCACTTCAGTTGTGAAATGCAAAAATAAAATTAAAGGTGAGTTCAAGAGAATAGTACAGGTAAACCTAACTATATGGAAAGTAAATTCAATTGAAATTTGTTAAACAGAGTATAAAAATAGGATATATATAGCGTTTGGGTACTAAGCCAGAGAGTAAGGTAAGTGAATGAGATTGTAGTACATTGAAGCTTGACTAATAAAGGAAATAGTCAAATTCAAGTTTAATTTTGAAGGAAATTAAGGAAAACGAGAGCAGAGTTAATGGTGTATATATAATAGTGATGCCTAGATATTATTGTACAGTGAAGCCCAATAATAAAAAAATAATAAATTTGAATAGAAAAAGAGAGAAGCAAGCCTGGCGTTAACGCTCAGATACGTTCGTTATTGTTTGCGTCGCTCACAAATATTGATTTCATTTCATTCCCTCATTTCATTCTACATTTTGGTACAGAAAAAAATAAACGTTCTATAAACAAAATATATATGAATCAGTTCGATCAGAGGTATATATAAATACATTCACAAAAATTAGGTAGACATAGACAAGTCACATAGTTGCGTCGAGGTAGCATCTGATGAGCTTCACATATAAGGACCTGATCGACGTGGCCATTGGCTCGCCGGAGTCGGGCCATGTCAACTTCTATGCGCTGCACGTGCTGCTCTCCAACTTTGCACAGAAGCTGGAGATACTGGACGAGACGGTGGAGCAGGACGATTACCTGCTGGCCAACATGCGATTTCAGAGCAGCCTGAGTAAGTGCCTCCACATTCTGCAGCTAATCTCTGGTTGCGTATATAGCCGTAGCTTGTCTTGCTTTCCAGTTGGCAAGTCGTCCAGGTATCGTTTGCATGCTGGCGAGAATGAAGATCCTGGCACTGATGCGCCCACGGAACCAGTTCCGCCGGAGGCACCAGCAGAGTCGCCTGTGTCTGCTCCGGCAGAGGCACCTGCAGAGTCACCCACAGCGGATGCGACTGCAGCTGAGACGTCGCCCGCGCCAATTGTCGAGGCAGCAGTGGAACCACCACCTGCAGAAACTCCGCCGCCAGCGGCCGAGTTAGCGGGAGCACCTGCGCTCGAGCCGTCGATTGCGCCAGAGGAGGCTGTGACACAGGATCTGGACCAGGACCTGTCGCCGGGCTTGGCTACTGCGGTGTCGCCAGGTTTGGCGTCGCGCGCTTCGTCCCGTACATCGAAAGGGGAGAAGATTCAGGGACGTGCCGAGGGCTCGGTGATTGGTTCTTTGGTCAAGCTGGAGCGACGCATCTCCAAGGTAGAGCTGCAGAAGGAGCAAAACGATATTGAGTTCCAGAACTTCGCTGGCATCCTGACGGGTCAGCTGAAGCTAACCATGGAGCAGCTGAACAATGTAACCCATCTAATGCTCGATCGCAAACCCAATCCGAATCGGATGAAGCTGCTCAGGAATATAGCGCGACAGCTGCGCGTGCTAATGCGTGTGAATGACGACGAAGTGTCCATCAGCTGGAGCAGCGCCGAGGCTGGGGTCGAGGCCGAGGACGAAATGGCCGATGAGGAGGAGGAGGCAGTCATGGAGGAGTCCAGTACACCCACCGAACTGGCCAAAGTGGAGGAGGAACTGGAGCTGGATCAGCACCTATGCTACGCACCCGAACGTATGCTCAACGAGCTGCTGGAGCTTAAATCCCAGTTCTGTTCCCTCACTAACAAGGTGAACGAGCTGGCCGCCGAGCTGATGAAACAGGATGCCAAGCGGGTGATGGAGATGATGCAGGAGATGCAGATGGTTGTGCGGGAGATCAAGCTGACAGCAATCGGCAACCAGGAGACAAACCAGGGTATGTTAGCCAAACTAAATGGGGCAACGAGTCAGATACAGACACTCAAGAATTCGGTGGCTCATCTCGATGAGATCAAGATCGACAAGGCCGATGTGGAGCTGCTGCTGGCCGAAAAGGTCGACTTTCCGCAACTGGCCACAAAGGTCTCCCTGGAACAGCTAGAGGAGTACAAGGAGCGACTGGAGAAGCAATTCTGCGAGGTGCGCTTCATCATCAATGTGAACGAAAAGAATGTGCTGCAGATCATCGACGGATTGCGCATGACCCTGGGCGTCGATTCACTGGAGCTCAGTCTCAAGGACTTCCGTGAACTGATCGAGAAACGCGTCGCCCTCATTGCCGAGGCGCTGCACAAGTACATGGAGATGACCAATGACGATTGCGCTGCTGCGGCAGGCAGGGTCAAGGTGATGCAGGAGCTGGCCTGCCTCTCCTGCGACACGCCCTGTGTGATGCGCACCGTGGAACGCTCCAAGCTGCCACGCCCCGCCTCGGCAAAGGCCTCCAATAGCATCGGCCCCATTGTCACCTATGAGCTGGGTCAGATTCGCAAGTCCGGCATCATGGGCTACTACCGCAAGGACGAGTACCCGCACGCAACAAATGCTTGGACGAATTCCGTGCCGGTCAACAAGTGTGTACCCCGTCACGCCGGCGGCATGCACACCATCCACACCGCCGACGAGCACATGCAGAAGGTGGTGCTGTCCAAGAAGAACACCGGTTGGGCTTAGAGCCACCAAGTTATTTCGCCATGTTTTACCATTCCACATTACATCAAACACAAAAATAGCAAAAAATCCACATCAAAATATTTAAAATTATATTAAAAAAAGAAACCCAGTATGGTCAGGTATGCCAACAACAGACCAGACGTCGTTATCCGTACAGATGCAGTAAGACCTGACCAACGACAAAAAAAATTAGAAAATCAATTATATTTGTTTGACTAATGTAAAAAATTGCAAAATTAAAATTAATTGTTAGAATTTCAAATTTGTTGCAGATTCATTTTTGATAAATCTGGAAATTTAACAAATTGCCAAGTGAAAATAAAAGCTATGAAAATTCGATTAGCTTTTCGCCTGAAAATATGCTATATTATGAATTTGTAATTACCCACATTAAGGTGTCATCTCAATGTATGTTTCGATTTGCAACTTTAAATCCATTATATATAATGTAATTTTTAAAATATGTAAATCAATCATGATTCAATTATAGTTGCGACCTACGTAACAGTCGTGTCTCCATACTCATACCCTAGCACAGACGCAAACCTTCGTTCAGCTTTTAACGGCTATGATATAATGCAGCCCTGTGTATTAAAGAACTAAACCAAGTACACTGAGAAAAAAACTACTTGCATCTGCAATGCATATGGCAAACTATATGGTAAGCAAAATTTTTATGAAATAACTAAAAAAAATATACTGTAAAGCATTTAGCAAAAATTTCTAATTGTACAGAAAATCTATTATCATTGTGTCTATCTTTCGAATATTTTTTTTTTTTTTCGTTTTTATTTCTTTATTTTGTTGCAGCTTATTGTCTTAGACTCTATAGCGCATTTAGCTCTAAACCTTAACTAATGGGAGGGCAGATATGCCAATTATTCTGCACTTGTAGCTACTATCTTAATTAGTTCTAATATTGTCTAGAGGATGCAATCTCTTCAGTCTTCGCCTATTGTTGTTTATAGCCAGGTTGCTTGCGAGATGGTTAGGATGCGCTGCAAGTCTGTCCGCGTATCTTGAACTGTGTCGCCCAATGAGTTCAGCAACTGTGGGAATTGCTAAATCCCTATGTAAGACTGAGTTTCTTACAAACCAGCTGGCTCCAGTCCATCTGCGTAGTGCTTTATTCTGCAGGGTCTGAATTTTGTTCCTTGTAGTCTTCGCCGAGGAGCCCCATAGAGAGATACCATATACGAAGGTTGGGACAACTATTGCCTTGTAGATGGCGGCCTTGCTGCTGTAAGACAACTTGCTTGAAGCTCTCAGCATCCAGTCGAGGGTTTTTAGCTTGCTTTTGCATTTTGAGGTTACTTGACTTATGTGCGCTTTAAAAGTCAGCCTTCTGTCAAGAGTGATACCAAGGTACTTTACTTTTGAGGCTTTGGGAATAGTGGGCCCCAATGCAACGCTTGGGCAATCTCCTCTTCTAGTGGCGAAGGTAGTATGTACAGACTTTTGTGCATTAATGGTGATACACCACCGTTTTGCCCAGCGTCCGAAAGAGTCCAGATATTTTTGTAGTGAGTCTGAAGCTTCTTGCGCAGATACGTGACGTGATAAGATGGCGGTGTCATCTGCATAGGTCGCTATGAGTACTGCATCTGTACTTCCTATATTTGGCTCGGGAGTTGGCATATCTCCTGTGAATAAAGTATAAAGTGTTGGGCCTAGAACACTACCCTGTGGTACTCCAGCCATAATTGGTCTAGTCAAGGATACTGTTTGCCCCCTTGACACTTGGAAGGTTCTTCCAATAAGGTATGAGGATAGCAACGCGAAAAATGGGGCTGGAAGGGTGGTCCTCACTTTCTGCAGCAGTCCCAGGTGCCAAACTCGATCAAACGCCTGTTTGATGTCTAAAAAGACGGCAGAGCAGTACATCTTTTCTTCAAAGGCTCCAAGGATATGGTGCACAACTCTGTGAACCTGTTCCGGTGTTCCATGCTGTCTCCTGAAGCCAAACTGATGGTTTGGAATGGCCTCCTGGCGTCCCAGATGTGTCAGTACTCGTTCCAGAAATATTCTTTCGAATATTTTGGAGAGTACTGGCAACAGGCTAATTGGTCTGTACGACTCAATTTCTCCCACGGGTTTGCCAGGCTTAGGAATCATCACAATCACGGCGCGCTTCCAGCAGGCTGGAAAGTGCCGGATGCGGAGCATGGCGTTGTACACCATAGTTATGTAGTCTATGGTGGAGTCAGGCAGTGCTCTAAGGACTCTGCCGTTTATTAGATCATATCCAGGGGATTTTTTTGCCTTCACTCTTCTGATGTGTTCAAGAACCTCTTCTTTTGTACATCCAGTTATCTGGTCTTCAGCTGGGAGGGGCGAGAGAACGATGTCTTCTGTTGCTTCGATTTCTGAGGCCTCTGCGGTAATCACCGGCGTGAATTGGTCTTGAAGGTGGTTTGCAAAAGCCTCAGCTTGAGCTTCGTCTCCAATGTGCCAGGAACCAGAAATGCTCCGAATGGGATGACGTCGTATTGGCTGCCGTTTGAGCTTTCTTGTAAATTTCCATAATTGAAACTCTGCGTCAGTGGGCGATTCAGCTCGTACCAGCGCATCGCTGATACACCTCTTTTGAAGCAGGGCGAGAGCAGCTTTAAGATGCCTCGTGGCTTCGTTGTACATGGATTTGGCATCAGGCGTGCGTAATCTTAACCAGCGTCTCCTGGCCCATCTTTTGTGTATTAGTAGGTGTTGGGCCTCCAAGGTGAGGGGGATGTTGTACGGAGACTGTTGTCTTGTTTGGCAAGATGGTGGGGCGGCTTGGTGCGCAGCTTTGACTATTTCTTCCTGCAGTTTGTTTGCTGCGTAGTCCACGTCTTCAGGAGTGTTAAGTTCCATTTCTATGTGCAAAGAGTAATGGAGCTCGCGCCTAAAGACTCCTAAATCTGATCCTGCTGGCAGTAGTTGTTTCCTAATGGGCAAGGGCTGTGGCTGCGCGTGGATTGTGACTATTAGTGGCAGGTGGTCAGAGGATAGGTCCAAGGATTCTTCAATGGTCAATTGCCGGTCACAGATGCCTTTGTAGACAGCGAAGTCGATTGCCGAGGGCCTGTGTCCATTAATTGGGTAACGGGTGGGGGCTCCAGTCGCCAATATGCTGAATTGTAAGTTTTGAATCGCCTCAAATATGACTTCTCCGCGACGATTCGCACTATTGCTTCCCCAAAATGGGTGCCATCCATTCCAGTCGCCGCCGATGAGGGTCTTATTCAACCTTTGGCCTAGAACCTGTTCCATGTGATGATCACACAGACCAGTGTTTGGCGGAAGATAAATTGACGCAACTTCGATCGCTCCAATAGACGTAGGCAGGGTGATGGCTGAGACCTGCATTGTTGCGTTGCAAATTGGCAGTAAAGGTGTATGCGGTATTGTTGCTCGTATGAGGATTGAGGATCCACCAAAGCAGTTTGCTCCTTCACCATGAGCCTGATAGTGTTCGTATCCGAAAATTTGTGTAGTGGGGCACTCATGAGTTTCTGTTATTAACATTATATCTATGTTTTCTTGTGAGAGAAACGCAGCCAGTTCCTGAGTCTTGTTTCTCAGGCCATTGGCGTTCCAGATACCCACACGTAAAGCCATTATTTGTAGGCAAGCTTGGTTATGATGGCCATTAAACTGTTTAGCATGGTTGCTTGTTGGGATTGTACTTCTCGCATCGCTTTGAGCTCGGCATTAATTGCGTCAAACTGACGTTGTTGTTGCTGAAGCATTTCAGTGAACAAAGTGTCACTTGTGGTATTCTTATTTGACGGTCCACCTCTAGCGGCCTGTGCGTAAGAAACACCACTAATAGGCGTTGCAAAGCTCGTGGCTTGGGTAATGCTCCGGGGCCTTGTAATTTCGGAAGCAGTACTCGGACCCGTAGACGGTGTTTGTGTGGGACTCCTTTTTTGTGCTGGGGATTGCAATTTGCGCAACCGCTTGTATACTTGGCAGCCCTTATAGTTGGCTGGGTGCTGTAACTCACAGTGCACACAAGTTGGTGCCTGGTCCTTTTCGCGGGTGCAGTCTTTGGATGCGTGTTTCCCGGCGCAACGCACACATCTGGGAGCTTTGTGGCAGTAGCGTTGTGTGTGTCCAAATTCTTGACAGCGATGGCATTGTGTCAGGTCGTTGTATCTTCTTGGCAGTTCCACTGTGCAGCGTTGCCTGCAGACAACTCGAATGTCCAAAATTTCTTTGTTGTTGGGGGCCTGAGCCACGTCAACAAAAAATATATTTAGCGGTGTTTTGTCCATACGGCTCAGTGGGTTGTGCACATTTGTAATTGTGTGGCCTTTGGTTTCCAATTCCTTTTTAATTAGTGTTGTATCAGTGCTGGAGTGAAGCCCTTTGAACACGACTCTATATGGTTTGTCCTCCTTAAGCTGGTAGCAGTGGAACTCCAATTCCAGCTTAGTAAAGTGGTCTATAACTCTGCGATAGTCCTCACTGCATTGGGTTAATACACCTATGTTATTCTTCTTTGGCTTAATTACGTATGATTTAGCATCAATTACTTTATCTATTATCTGTTGAAGTAGGGCCACAGACTTGATGTTTGGACACCATATGGGGGGCGGACGAGGTTTCGGAGTAGTTTGCTGGTCGGTCAATACTGGGGCTTCTGGAGCTACAGGTGATTCGCTGTAGTCTTCATCTTCTTCTACGAGCAGTGAAAATCGATTTTCTGATATTAATGCTGCATTGCTGGTGCTTGGTTCGTCGAAGATGAGCCTTTTCTTGATGGTTTTTGGTGAATTTGGCTGTTTACGTTTCGTGTTTTTGTTGTTAGTGATGCCTTGCACGGAGGCGATATCTATTTTTGAGTTTATTGGCATGATGGAGGCTTGCCTATTTGCCATCACAACGTTAAGCTGGGCTTGCATTTCTGCATTTACCTTTACAGCTGTAGCGAGGTTATTGACATTAGATGTCATCGCGGATTGTGCTTTTGAGTGCAGGCGCACTCGCGCCAAGCGACGAAATTTCGTAAATTGCAATTAAAGCAATTGAGTTACGCGGAAGCAAGCGATAAGAAAACGCTGCGTGTGCGGTTTTTGTTGCTGTTGCGTTGAAGAATGCACCGCAAAGTTCTATTTTTAGAACTCTGCAGCAGTAGAGCTTAAGCGAAGGCTGTTCGAATTCACGTCTTTACAGGTCGAACGACTGATCGCGATTGACGAATATTTATACAATAATATAAGCATACTTTTTAAACAGCATCAAAGCTAAGCCAAAAATTCTATGCATGTATTTTAAGTCAATAAACCCGCTCGTTTGGATAGAATTTATTGATTGCAGCGTGTTTATTCGCTCTCTCTCTCTCTCTCTCTCTTATTTCTCTCAGTGCAACCACTTGCAAGTAGCAGTAGTTGAGTGAGAGCGCTGCTGTGTGCTGGTTGCGTGCTGTGCTAAGGCGCTTCACTCCGAACAGTTTCTCTTCGAACGCGCAGCCGAGTGGTTGGTTGATTGTTCCCCCATTGTTTGTCGTGTCGTGTGTTTTGTGAACGAATAAATAAGAAACCAGCTGTGGCTGTGGTTTTGGCTAGAGGCAATATTATTTACTAGCTCTGGAACAAGTTCTTACGATCTCCAAATCGAATCAGTTATTAAATGTTAACCAGAGGCAACGGCGCGCATTTGCAGTTTATCTATTGTGTTTGGCTTTGTCGCGCTTGTCTTGTGTTCTTCCCTTTCCTGAATTCGGCGAAATTCCAATAAACATTTCGGCAACTCTTCCGATTGGCGCAACAAATTTATTTATTGATTTGATTAATGCAAATAAACATAAACGTTATTTGTTGTATTCTTCTTCATTTTTTTGGCAATGTCAGCTGAAAAGAACCGTAAAGCATAAAGCGCGAAACGAAACATAGAAGTAAAAGCAAACACAAAAATTTTGGTAACGTGACGCAGTCGCAAGCAAAACAAACGCAAAACGCAAATACAAAAACAAAAACACCAAAAAAAAGGGCTACGTGTGTGTGTAATTCTGTGTTTGTGTGCGCCTGCTCAACGTGATCTTCAACCTCCGCTTTGGCCACTGCTTCGTTACCTGAGTTGCGCGAGTCAACTTCAGCCGGCAATTACTTGGCAGCCTTACGTTATTTCCGCAACTCTCTCTCCCTTCGTTCTCTCCCGCTCTCTTCGTTTGCTGAGCAAAACAAAATCGGAATAAATGGCCATGCAAAGAGAAGCAGGCGTGCAGGACTTTGTCCTATTGGACCAAGTCACCATAGAGAAGTTCATGGACAACTTGCGCAAACGGTAAGTACGAAGTCTTTTGTTTCTTTTGTTCTGCTTGTGTGTGGCCTCCCGTCCCCCTTCAAGGTTACTCTGATTGGCAGTCCAATTTGACAGTAGCTTCTGCGGCATCAGTTCTAGTTGAGAGCGTGCTCAATGGAGGTAACTTCAAGCTGTTGACCCACTGTCATTTGGTTGCTGCTTCCCATTGTGTCCACTCCATGAACCGTAACGAAACGTTCCCATTAGAGTGTGTTAGCAAAGTGGCTTAATGAAGTGTTTGGTTAAGCTGTTGAAATATTTAATTAAGTTCTCTATAAAGAGCTTCAACTTTCCCTGACTTGCCGAACTTGCCAAAAATCGGATTAATTATAAAATACTTTCAAATATTTGTAGAAGACGAAGACGTTCCATTTCTTGTACATTAATTTAATACTATGTTAATGCAATTAATCGCGCCTTAGATTAAATGCTTGCTCTTCTTTGCATAATTTCCTATCGTACGATTGTCTAATTGTAGAAATGATGCAATTCAATTAACACTCGCAATGACTTCAGCGAATCCCACGCCTTATCGTATATCAAGAAACATATGTTGGTTTATATATATGTTGATAATTTAGTCTAACGTTCCTGAGTAATTATTGACAATGTGACTATGATTCAGTGCTCAGATATAGCTTCTAGCTTCTAAAGACACTTGAAATTAAGCAATGACTCAGTTAAAGCCGAAAAACGAAGCTAAATGAATAGATTTACATTATGCTAAGTAAGGCGGCCATTATTATCATCATCATCGTTGTCATCATTGTCGTTAATCATTAAAAGGGAAAGGCGAAGCTGCCTAAAGCGCCGCATAATGTGGCATAAAGCGAGCGCCATTTCGTGACGCATTGATAACAGACTAAATAAATAAATACATCAAGAACTCTCGCTGTTTGTCTAGCAATGACAATGCGTATGCTAATGATAACGACGATGATGATGATCTTCAGGAGAATAATAATGATGTTGATAATGAACATTGTCAAAGCAACGAACCACAAACATTCAGCCTAGCGAGGCGTTGCAATGCAGCGACCCGTGCTGCATGCCGCCTGCTGCCGGCTGCCGGCTGCCTGCCACAAACGTTGACAATGGATGCCGGGCATCTAGCAACAAGTTGTTGACACACGCTCTTGCTGCATGAAATAGAATACGTTACCAGCTAAACGTGGGCTACAATTCTGGCCAGAAGCAACATCAACAATGCGGGGCAGTAGGATAGAGACGAGACAGGAGGTAAATAGCCAAAACGAGAGTCATTTAGTCGGGAGTGTCGGACTAGAATATACCCTGAACCAAAGAGCTCCTAATCCAGAAAGACAGAACATAGATCATGTACTTTATCTGATTGCTGTTAGATTGTAGTTTATAATTAAATAAAAGTCAAGCGTAGAAACTTGCTACATGTTTTTTATACCCTGATCCCATTAAAAATGGGAAATCAGGGTATAATGGTTTTTATATAATTCAGTAAACGTGGCTAAGTAGTCATTCAAGTTATATAAGCTGACATCTTTAAAATTCGAGCTCTTTGAGTGCTCTCGTTTCGATAACATCTAAAGCGTTATCAATATAGTCGCAGTGGTATCTCAGCTAGCTCTCCATAGACTTTCGATTGCACAACTTAGCCAAAGAAAGCGATAATAACACGTTTACGTACTCACATATGTAATTATAATGGACTCGTAACATTACACGAATCAATTTGTAAATTACAAAATTACAACCCGGAAAATCAAATCAAAAAACAAATAGATATAGACGGACATATATATATCCATACATATCAATCTTTGAGGAAAAACCCATTGAGCAAATCAGTTGAGGGTCAGAAGCGCGAGCCAAAAAGTCAAAAAATGTGCAGTGTAATGGAAAATGACGAAAGACAAAGCCAAAAGAGACACTGAGAGAAATAAATAACTCACTTTCGTTTTTGTTTTTATTTTTTTTATGACCAGATTAACAAAAGCACGGAATGAAAAACTGTGAAATGGCAAAAACTGCATTTTGTATTACGAGCAGACACGAGTTTATTCAATTTGTTTTTATTCGCGCGCTTTTCAGTCCTGAGTATGTGTGCTATGACATCATGTCTGCTGCGTACTTGGCTATGTAACGCAACGCAGAAAGAAGAAGAAAACATAATGAAAATAAAACAAAAATAGAGAATTCGTAAAGTAGTTGAGCAAACCGAAGTATATTTACACTAATATTGGGAACTTGGCAACTTTTCTATTAAACTAAAAGATGATCTTAAGCATTTCTTATTTCTATGCATTTCAATCAAATCATAATATCTGAACTAAAAGAATAACAGATAATACTGCTTTAGAAAGGAGTATCTGACTCAGAGATACTCTGAGCTCTGACCAGCTCTGTACATACATATATATACATGAACATATGCATACACTCACACAGAATCCACACTTGTTCATTTAACAGTTCCCACACTATGGGAAATTATTTATTGGTTTTAACTTTCGATCTTTCATTGAAATAAGTTTGTTTTCAATATTGGAAATTTTCAAAGTCTTATAAAGATTTCAATATTATATGTACCTTATCTTACTTTTATAATAATGAGAAAAGAAAATGCACTGCACACAAAAGCTGAAGACTATTCTCAAATATAGTTTTCTGGTCTGTTTGAAAGACACGTTATATCTTTTTACTTTGACAATTTGTCAACAATCATAAAGGAATTTTAACAATGCTTTGCTAACCGCTGCACAAAGCTCTAATACCCCAGTTGGAGCTAGCTATACACAGCCACAATCAAATATATATTTATAAAGATATATTTATATATTCATAATGTATGAGTTTAGCACTTGCTTTTTTGGCACTGTCATAAGTAAATATATGTATAGTATATATGAGAGAGTGCTCTGCCCCTGGCCATACAAGCCACACAGACATATATAAAAGTGATCCAGAAATAGCTGCTCGACGCGCACAAAATGTATATATCTCCCATATAATATACATATATAACTTTATGGATATTTGTATGCGCTCGCTTGGAATATGTTTTCGAAAAATGTATCTCGAAAACGAAATGGAAAGCCTTTGCTGCTGCTACTACTGCTGCTGCTGCTTCTGCTGCTGCTGCTGTTGCTGCACTCTACGCACATGCGAAGCTTGTGAGTCACGCTGTGTATATTGAAGATACTTTTTGGCGCTCGCATAACGCAAAATACGTGTACAAATGTCGAAAAAAGGCAGCCGCACACAAACCGGTTGATGGCGTCAGTTTGCAAACCCCAAACTAACAAAAGTTAAAGAAGAAAAAAGGGAGTACCCGACTAGGAGATACACTTATTCAATATATTCTAGAATAATGCTATTCACCTGTGCACACTTTAAGAAAATACAGATCTGAAGGAAGAAGAGGAGTGCACGACCACGATTTACTCTGTAAACTTCTTTTAAGAGAAATTCAAGGATATATTCATAAGAAGTCCATATGCTCATACTTTATAATTAACAAAAAGTGTTCGACCTATGAGTTATTCCATAAGCATTTTCTAAGTTTCTTTTAAGAGAGATGCCATGAGTATATCTGGCATTCTTCATAGAGCTCTTGAGAGATTTTTCTTAAGAATACCTAATTATTCATATACTATTTCTTTATACATTTGTGAGACATCCGATATACTAAAGGTATTGTCCATTTGTTACATACACTTCTTCCAGTCAGATATAACCAGCTGTTTCATTTTCAACTAATTCGAAAATACAAAAAACTAAACAAAACAAGTTTCTTCCTCCTCAATCCCGATCTGTTTGTTATTTCCTCAAGTTCAGAGCATTTGTTGCTTTCTTGAGGGTTACTTCAATGCTTTTTCTTCCACGAATCGCCAAAAAACAGAAGAAAATTTACGAGCCATTAAACCAAGTGTCCTGCGCTGAGGGCACACCACAGTCTGCCCCGCCCATTGGGTGGCAGTAACTATAAATCTACTTGCACTGATTGATTGCACTATTTCCAATAACAACAACAACAACAACAACTATCTACCTCTCAGTCTATCTATATGGAGTAGCGAGTGCATTTTGTATTGTCTGTTTCACGTATCGCTGATAAGTTTACATTTAGTTTTCGAACTGACTTTTGTTTATGCCCGGGTCTCTATCTCCCTCTCTCTCTCATCTAATTTGGCCTACATTTTGTGTGTTTGTTTTGTTGTAGTTGTTGTTTGTTCGGTAGCCTGTACAACATCTATAGAGCCCGCATCAGCATCTAGCTATCTATCTATACGTTGCTAGCTGCTTGTTTATTTACTTGCTATGAGCTGTCGTTGAACTCTTAAGGCCTACAGGTGGTTGCTGCCACAGAGGCGCAGCCCCTACAAATTTATTCAGAATACTGTCTAATACTATCAGCAGACTTTTCATTCTTATCAACTGGCCAAAAAAAATCCAAGCATTGGCATATTTTTAGCGCCATATCGTCCCATCTGTGAGTCATTTTATATTTCAAAGCAAGCCTCAACTACTTGACAGGTACATTAAAATTCAGTTTTCATTTACTATTTTATATATATTTTTTTTGGTCTGTTCAAGGCTTGCTTTTTGTATTTTAAATCAGCTTTTTCTTGTCGTATTCAATTATTTTTATTGTAAATAAACTATGTCAATATTTCCATCAAATGCTTTATGGCTTAACCCTCGACATGAATTTACGATTGGAGCAATTTAACCCTTAGCACGTCTGAGTACTTTCATAATCTTATCTACATTTCGAGTCAAGTTGGTAAGAAATCGCTTTTTATCGCTGTATTTTTCTTTGGCTATAACTTGTTCTTGGTCGAACAAACATTTATAGGGTATATTAAGTGGGCATGCGTTTGGTTTTTCTTTTCTTCGCCTTTTCATTTTAAAATTGTGCAAATAGCCGCGACTCAACTTGTATAATAATGGCACCGTGTTGATAAGATTGCATGCCCCCGAAGAAGTGTTAAACTTAGCGAGGC